TGTTCACCGTGTGCAATGTCATAAACAAAATCAAGTATTTCAGAAACGGTAAGTGTTAGGTTAAATGTACCTTAGTACTTTTATACTCCGAATTCGCTATTCTATCGAAATCACGCATGAAAAATTGTACATTCCATTTAAGAAAATAGAATTGACCTCTATATCTCCTCTACGCATCCACCTGTTAAGAAACCATTATTACCATATTATGTATTTCTTTAAGTCTTACAACTTTCATTAGTAACAACTTCGCATATTGTTTGAAATAACGAAGGTATTTCAGGTGGACAGTGTCCATGGAACACACTTATGTACACATCTGCCCATAAGTATTAGGACACTTATCGAATGTGCAGTAAGTTTTACAAGACGTTACGAAATTGCTGAAAATCTGAATTAAGTATTGTTTAGTGCAGCGGTTCTTATACTTTATAGGTTTGAGGAGGACCCTTTTCATATAACGTGCATTTTTTCTGGACCCCTAACCAATAAGTTTATACTTTTGTATACAAGCTATTTATTTTTCATTTTACAATTTAAATAGCAAATCAAATTTTAGTTTGAAAATTCACTTGTGGACTCCGAACTATTAACTGTCGGACCCCTAAGGGTCTACGGTCCACAGTTTACAAATTGCTGGGTTAGAAGATTTATACGTAATTCGATTTTACATGTAGCATCATATTTATAATCTCATTTTCCATGAAGGGCATAAAAGGTTTGGGCTATGAACGTGTAAACAAAATTTCTCAGTCACAAGGGGTTAAATTATCTTATCATGGAACATATCTGCAAGTTAAATCGCTATGGAAATTGTCGAAAAAAAATAAGAAAATATTTTTTGTCATATTTGAGGAACAATTTTTTTATCTGCAGAAATAAATACTAACTGAGAAAAGAGGGTAAGAAATATAAGATGCTGTTGTATGGATGCAGGGAAAGAAGTACAGAAATAGTCCAAAGGGAGGAAGTAATAGGGGACGAAGGCACAGTCAGCGGATTAGATTGGATAAGAGGGCTGGATGAAAGGATAGAAAACGAGCAGGAGTCAGGATTAGGAACAAGATAACATTGGAACAAAGAATGATGGAGTAAAAGAATTAGTAACACATGGGAAGAAATGAATAAATGTTTGGTTGGAAGATAAATACTTTTAATACCTTTTCTACGATATATTCTGTAAGCATTTTTCTACGTACTAGCCAAAGATGAAATGAATATATGTATAGATACTATTAAATATACAGGGTGGCCCAATACAAATTAGCACTTCAATATTTCCGTTCTTTTTGGGGATATGAAAAAACTGTATTAACAAAAGTTGTACAGTATATAGGGGACTACAAAATGACAGTAATAATTTTTCTGTAGGTAGAGGATTTTGAAGATTTTGAGGGTTACCTCCATTTTTTTTAAACGTAATATGTATTGTACAATTAATCATGTATTTTTTTATGCGTTAAGTGATGTATGGGGACATTCTTTATAAAAAAGTATTAACTTATATACGTCTAAAGAGTATTAGTTTAGGCGGTAGCTCGTGGAAAAGTGTACGATCGCCTTGTACAAATATTACAACGTTATTCTTAATATAATGACTTACTACACTCTCATAATAATTCTAACAGAAAAGGCGTTCAAGAGCAAATAAACATTTACTGTGTCTTGGCGAATCTAACATGCTAGATTAAATGCCCTACATCTCTATTTACTTGCTCGTAAATTTATAATGCAATCGTATTTTCCTGGCAAATCTCCTAAACTAATTATTTCTCGACATAAATATGTCAATATTTTTTCATAGAGAACATCGTGCTGCATTAACTACTGTATAAAAAAATATATGATTTTATTTAAAAAAAAGTGAAGGTGATCTTGAAATCTCTGAATCTTCTCCAGTTGCAACAAAATTATTACGGGTATATTATAGCTCCTTCTATACTAAACAACTTTTATTAATAAAGTTATTCCATATCTCTAAAAACAACGCGGATATTCAACTGCTAATTCTTATTAGACAATCCTGTATAATCTCATTTCCGTTGAAAGATATTAACGACATTTAATTAATGTTCACCTACAGAGACCAATTAATAATGTAGAAATTTTAGTAACGTAGATAGAAAATAAAGTTTTCTTGAATTACTAAAATACTATGATAAACTATAGTTTGTCCGAAAACACTGATACGGATTAACTACTATTGTTTTCTTATCTTTAAAATCAACAATTTACAGTCGTTTTTCAAATGGAGTGGTATCAGTGAAAACATCAACTACGAGTGAAAAAATGTACACATAATGAACGTAATAAAGTTTCATATAGAAATCGTGGTAACGTTACATACGAAAGAATACAATACTCGATTCACAAATTACGTTCCCTCGCGTTATTGTATTGGTATCGTCTTTAACTAAAGAATGTTTGAATTAAATGAGAGGATGATTTGAACAAACAAAAAATTATCGAATAATTCGACCTAGTTTTACAAATAATAAACCGTACGCACGCACCGAATTAAAAAGAATGCAACATCACGTTCTTTATTTCTTGCTTTCTATAGTGCACACAAATTATCCGGAACGATTCGAACAAGACAACGAGAAGTTTAATCAATGTTTTCTATCGTAATGAAATTTAAATAATATATCGACAAGTGTCGGACGAATAAGTATTGTAATCGTTAATAAATCATGAGGATTGACGACGACGTGTCTGGAGATAGAGACAGAAGGTGGAACGGAATTGCACTTTCGAATGCAATAAATTACAGAGATTATCGGGGCAGTTTCACGTGTTGTACCCGTCCGTGGAATCACGGCACGTGAGAGATGACGAGGAACTGAAACAGGCGAACAACGAAGCACGTTTTACAGGCGACACCTGCCACGCAGTTTGCGTATCGTGATCGTCGTGTGTACGCGATTCCCTTCGGACTCGAAATATATACATATGTATATCTGGACCTCAGAGCCAGAGTGTATTAAGTCTACTTTTTAAGATAATATTAAATTAAAAATTTTAAAAACCCCCGACAGAAAAAGAACGATTTATTTATTTATTAGATCCAGTCATTATTTTCCTCATCATCATCAGACCCTCAAGATTTGAGTCCGCACTCGAGGTACAATAACCGTGGCTGAGACCCCTTCAGAAATTGTGAAAAAAGTTGAAGAACTTGAAAACTATTAAATCCATTTTGACCAAACATAGCTATTAACCTTCCCCGAAATATACACTTTAAAAAAAAAACGCATAAACACACATACACGAACATAGGCCTTAAACTTATAACACCCCTTCTTTTTGCGTCAGAGGTTAAAAATGACATTTTACGTGTTTCCCGTATCAAATTTAGCTGAACAGTGTATCATTTCTACATATAGATACTTGTCTTAAGTGAATTCAGTAGTTCGAATATCAATTGTTTTTTGTTGAATTCTTACCGAACGGTTTCAACGTTACACGATTTTTGTAGTTTTGATTTGCTCTCCTCTCATGTTTGAAAAGTGTGACTTAATACACTCTGGCTCTGGGGTCCAGATGTCATCTTCCCTGAAAAAATTTACGTTTCTCCCTAAACGTTTACGCGATTTCTGAGGAAAATTTTGTTTCATTTTCGACAGGACATCGTAAACTTTTGTATATTCAGTTCTAATATGTTACACATTCGAAATATGAAAAATACAGGGTGCTCAGAAAGTTGTAGGATGGTTGAGCAACAGATGACTTCATTTGCAAAAACAACTCGAAAATGTAGGAGAACATTTTTCTACATAGAGTTTACGAAAAAATTGAACTTCACAGTTATCAGGTGCACAGATTTCGAATACAGATGTCTGTGTCTTACTGGCTATTTCTACTTGTATTACACGTTAATATTATTATGATTAGACTGTCAAAGGTTATGCAATTACAGATTTTTATGCAGTAATTTACAGGAAACGAAGTCAAATGGAATTATATTTATCTTATTAAAGATTCTATCAGGTTTCAAGTAATATGACAATTTCGTTACAATTTATTGAACATTTTATTCCAATGAGTTTTAAACAATCATGCATACGATAAGTGCAGGAAATCTACAGTCTAATTATTATATACGGGGTTCTGTTGGAATGGTGTTACAAGCGAGAAGAAATTGATTCCTTATGCAAAAATAAGTCAAAATTATAGAATACAATTGTTTGTTTTCCATGTATACTTATTGCAAATACGAAGAAGTGTGTATCATCACGAGAACTAAGCCCCGAACGAATTTTATGTAATACTTTTGATTCATTTTTATATGAAGTATCATATGCTACCTGGTTGTACCATTATTTTGGCTGCATCCTGTATTATTATTTATTTTCCATCGCTTTTACTATACGCTAATTCTGTATTTATATCGTACTATTTTACATAGTAGTGCTATTAATATTTGTAAAAATTAATACAAATAAAAAGAGGAAATAATCGGACTGTCGAATCAAGTGGCACACAAGTGCACACATACCAACGGCAGCAATTCACTCTAAGGGTGCCATTGAATAAGTGGCTCTGATAAATTCTTTCGATATTTATGACATTCTGCTTGAAATACCTACTTCCAGAATCTCATTTCCGTTACTAACTTTCTTTCCACACCGTACTTGCTCCGAATAATCCTAAACGTGTTTAATGATACTCCAGTCGTGGTTTTGTGATGATCGTAACTGCAAATCTATATCCTGTTTCTAAGCTGATTTAAATAATCTCTCCCTACTCTTGCCATCAGTTCTTAGCCAGAGTCTTATCATGAAATAAAATTGTCACCAAATTAATCTTGATTCAGTCGGTATCGCCAAGCGTTCCAACATTCTGCCTTATTTCGTATTCATGATGGATGACTTTCGCACAATACTGCATATCCAACCGACTTACAAATTGAAAAGATCAACTTCAACATTTCGTATCATTGCGCACGAAATAAGCATTACACAGGAAAGATGACACAGAATATACGAGTCACTGTTTAATCCTCGCATCTCTGGCTTTGTCGACAGTGTGGCAGCGGCGTAGGCTCTACAGAGGGCGTCGTCGGGAGCGTCGGTGGTGGCGGGAGCGGTGGTAACAGCAGCAGCGGCGGTGGCATGGATTGCATGCCTCTACGTCCGGGTCCCTTTCACTATTTGATAAGCGAGCAGGCCAAGTCCTTGGTGGCCCTGCAGGAGCTGCAGAATGAGGTCGGCGCTCTTCTCGAATTTCGGGACCTCGTCATGGAGACGTTCCCGAACCTCCGGCACAAGATGGCCGCGACGGCGTCCGCGGGAGCGTCCGTGATGTCGTCCTCCTGCGTCCAGAATTCCCACATCCCTTTACCGCTCTCGAGCCCATCGTCGAGGAGGATCAACGAATGGGAACCCGGGAAGGTTAGACGGCGGATACCTAGAGAAGGTGGCGAGTCGTCCTCGTCCTCCTTGCCTAGGAGTCGTAGTAACTCTCACAGCGGCGGCACCAAGAACAACTGCAGCGCCACAGTCCAGGATTCCGGGTTCAGCACGGAAACGTCCTCGAAAGATAGCGCCTCGACGGCAATAGCACCTAGACCTAGCAGTCCCCGACCCGCTGTTCTAGACGAGGCGGAGGACGAGCTATGGAATCTCTTAGACGTAATCCATCGAAAGGGAATCAGGCTTAGAGAGGAGGTGGAGTGTCTTCAGGGTCGGCTGGAGAGTGTAGCGCCCGAAGATCTGGCCTCAACGGATATTCTGGACGCTGTTAGAGAAGTGACGTGTTTGGGTAGCAATAGAACAACAACGATAACAACGGAGGATGGGAAGGAGGATAATGATAGGGATTCGCAAGTGATAGCGCTTAGAAGAGAAAAGGAACAACTCCTGGATAAGGTGGCCGAACTCGAGGCAGAGACCATATCCAGTCGCGCCAGGGCACAAGAGCTACAGTCAGAGCTTGCCGCGCTCTCCGCGTTGAAGTCCGGTCTAGAGGATCGACTGAGGGCAGGACTGAACGAATCATCCTCGGACATCCTCGTACCAGGCGCACAACGTCTTCAACCGATCGCGCCCGTTGTTTTGTCGCCGAAAAGCAACAGCGTTAGTAATATTAAAAGCAAGTCTTCGGCATTCGCTTCGGTGGCGACGTCCACGAAGGCTCACAAGAGCCGCTTCCGGACGAGGACCATCGAGAAGAACGTGCTGTTAGACGTCACCGCCCACAACGACGCGTTACGCGACATCGACGTCGAAGCGAGCGTGAACGAGAGAAGAGCAAGATTGGGTGCTTTGGATTCCGTCCTCGTGTCGCCGACAAGGGTCGCGCATGTTAAAGACGTCGATTCGAAGAAGATTGTTGCCATTCTCCGCGAACACTCTCCTCTCGAGCTGCAGCGGCATTTAATTACCACTACCGTCCATAATCAGGTAAGTAAAGCTAATCTCACTTGGACCAACGTAAATATTTGGAGATGAGTATACATTTAATTGTTCTTATCGTATAGTCGATAACTACGAGAATCATAATAGTATTTAAAGAGGATTTGCCCGTGATATAACGCATATTTGAACCGTTCATTTGCCAAAGTGATTAACTCCACAAAGATATAAAATGTTAAGCACCGATCAAGTGTTTTGGTACTAAATTTGAAAAAGAAATTCAAAAAGCGGGGTCTGTTGCGTTGCCCTGTGAACGGCTGATTTGGAGATTAGATGTTGAGCAAATAACTGAAATTGTTCTTACCGAACGACATTGATATCATAAATGCGTTAAAAGTAATTGTATGTCAGCATGGCTTTGCGATAAATGGTTTCAAACAAATTTAATTGTAACCTTAAAGGAATTTTGAAATTTAATGTATGTATTTCTACTTCCTAGTATGGAAATCATGGTTATTTTACTAGCAGTTATACATTTTTCGATGTACACCCGCGAGCAAACTCGACTTCCACTAGGGGAAAAAGCAATGTAGGGTTTAGGGCCTTTACCTTACTGCTTGGTAAATTTATTTCAAATACTGAAATAAATGTTAAACCGAATGTTAATTTCGCATAAGTTTCAATAACTCCGAGACCAAGTGGTAGGAGGTCTTTCCCTTAGATCACTTTTTCCCCTAGCGGAAGCCGAGTTTGCTCGTGGGTGTACATTGTGTTACTTTGAAATTTAATTCTTATATTCAAACGATAATAACTTTCGAGTTAAATTCCGACAGGCATGAAAAAACGTATATAGACAATGTTAAAAAATATATCGATAAATTGCAGGTCCTACAGAAGAGGTTAGACGATGTACAGAAAAGTACGGAAACTCTGTCTGAACGGCTAGACAAGGCGCGCGAGGAAAACGACGACCTACGCTTTCAGGTAATTCATATAATGATACAGGTAAAATTGGAATCATTCTACTGTGGTAATTTGCAATGAGAAAGATGCTATCTAATATTGGTATTTAGAAGAGTATTGGTATAACTAAAGAAAAATAAGAAAATATTAAGATTAAACAGCAATATATTAATACCATCAAAATATTAGGTGTACTAATAAATAGTTCACTGTAGTTACAGTGAGGGTGAAGTATAATTTAAATTTGGAATATTCTTCCGATTTCTTGTTCACAATCAGTCACAACGATATAGGCTGTTGGGGCAAACAGCAAACATTGTTAAACTAGCATGAATGTTTTAGTTCTTTCTGAAAAACTGGAACAGAATAATAAAATTTTATAAAAAACCATGAAGTAGGTACTTATTGGCACACCTAATATTTAATACATATTTATGTCTTGAAATAAAAATAATAGACAGTCCCTGTGGTCTGTTTGTGACTATGTAAAATATTACTTTCAGTCATTCGAATACTCATTTCATATTGAAGTTCCCGCATATTCCTTATAAATATTCATTTAATGCACATTCTAGCTGGAGGAGCGAAATATCCAGTTAGAGGGCACGCGGGCACGCGTCCGTGTGCTAGAAAAACTCCAACAACGCCCCCCGACGGAAATCGATCCGGAGGTGGACGGGGAGCAACCTAGATGCGAGCAGGCTGGTCTGGAGCCAGGAAGTAGCACGGAGTCTGCTCGTGATCATCACCAAGCCGTGGAGGTGAAACCGTCACCTCGGCGGCGTCCTAGTCGTATACCTTTACCCGGTTCCACGTCGAAAGCGACAGCGCCCAGACCGCCCAGCCACGGAAGAAACGACAGCAAGGAGTCGTTGAAATCGTTGACGAGACCGCCCCGTGATTCTAGTCGTGACAGTCACGGCGGCAAGTCTCTCTCGAAAGCACGTGACTCGAACCGAGACTCGCTGGGCAACAAAAGCCTGACGAAGAACAATATCAACAACAGTGGGGCCGGGAGCAATAATACGGGGAACGGCAGCAGCAAGGAGACGAACAGGGAGTCCCTGAACAGGTCCCTGCCGCGTAACAATTCCAGCCGAGACTCCTTAAACAAATCCTCCTCGCTGTCCCGCGCCCGTGACTCGCTGGAGTCAAACAACCTTGGCACGTCCTCATCCCCTGGGATGACTCCTCCTCGACGACCGCCCGCTCCTGCACGCCGTTCCTACAGCCTGGCCCGCCCGTCAACGTCCGTTGACACAGAGAACGGCAAGGTACGACCAGTAAAGCAATACTTTTGGAGCAACTGGCTGAAGTCATCGTTGTCCAACGGCCCGATCTAGTAGAGTGCCCATCATCTATCCTCTTCTCCAGGACGGCCGATAGTCGCTGTTAGGGATATCTGCTGCTTCTAATCGCGCCCCGATTCGACATCTCCCCATCCAACGCCCCTTTTCGGACCACCCCTTTACATTCTTCCTGCCCCCTCGTCTCGACGCGCCTGACTTGTGCTCACCGGGAAGCCCGGTTAAACGTAACGATCAAAACGAAACCGCGTCACCATCCACAGTCAATTTCGGACAGTTTCATATCGATGCAGCAACTGTCGCTAGTCTGGCTGTCGTTTTACATTTACCATGTCTAACGTGTGGTAGCTTCTTTCACGACTGATTTCGATTCTGATCCGGTCGCGAATCATACATTTTCACGATCGTTCCTTGATCATCCTCGTTCGTCCATCCTAATTTTCATCACGTCAAGCGGGCCCTACACTTGAGATGTGGAACCGTTTCACGGCTCGACCACTCTTCATATTTTCGACGTGATCATTCCTGAAACGTTATTCAAACTCTGACGTACCTACACCAGAGACACTCGACCGACAATTGCCTTAAAAACGACGAAATCGCCCGACGATCCACTACCAAAATGTCTGATCTGGAGCGCAGGCGAGCGTGCGTTCGAGCCCGTCCCCGACGGCGGTCCAATAAAGAAAGTGGCCCCTTCTCGCGTGCCGCCGGTTTTTCTCGTAAGTTATGCTTCTTTTATTATCATTTGCTTCGATGCTTCTTCCTGGATGTGGTGAGCTATGAGCCTGTTTTGTTTTAAAGATCCTTATCTCCCTCCTTTTCGTCTCTGATCAAGTAGTACACGACGTAGATACCCTTTCACCTGGAGTTTGGCATGCGCACGCACCCCGTAGTCAGCCTCCCTTCGAAATCCAACTAAATCATTAGAACTGAACGCGACTGTGATTCTTCCTTTCTTTAATGATCATTTAGTGATGTTTTTGTCGCATAATTTTAAGTATGGTAGTTTATCGTAAAATAATGGTTGAGCCTGGAAACATACCTGGAATCTCTGTAATTACAGAGAAAGTAAGTTCTCTGCAAAATGGCTTGTTCATACTTTGATGTCATATCTCGATGCAGGTGTGTTATACGTCTTTTATTGTACTGTTTTATGTGTATTTTACTTAAACATATGCATAGATATCAGGAAATCAGAAGGCAATGTATTTAGAATTACATTCCTAAGGTATGAATTTGTATTTGGAAAAAATTGGGGTCTGTTGCATCTTGGGATAGCAAATGAATACGAACAAATACCACATATATGTGTATTCAGGGTTAAGTGGTATAAAGTAAGTATCGAGTACCTAAAATTTGAAGAAATCTTTTGTCACATCCAAATTGTTCATTGTGTGTAGTTATTTTATTATTAGTTCAAAAGAGATTATAATATTACTTCAGTAATATTTAGTAAAATTTAAGGCTTCAAAAAAATGAAAGACTGAACAATTACATCGTTTGACTTTGAAATTCATAGCATATTTAAATAAAAGAATTGACGGATGTTTAAATACTAAAAGTGATATCCCATTTTGACATAGAATTGGATCTGTTCTACTGTATCCAAGAAATCTGTCTCTATATGTAGCTGTAATCATGACTCCTACTTTCTTTTTTAATTCTATTTATACGTAGTTTTGCATACAGTTGCAATAGATGCATGTGGGTTGGTACGAAAAGGTCTGCCGAATCCCGTGATTTCAATAGTTAATTTTGCTTCAGTCGTTAAATTTGCAGAGGAATTACAATTAACTCAAGTGGATAACTATAAAGAGTTACTCGTTAAACTGCTAATGTTTTTGCGATTTCACATTTTTAAAGACTAGTTCACGGAAACGCGAATTGAATACATACTGATTATCCTAATCAACATTTTTATTAGGTTAAACGTTACCGTTAAACGTTAAAAAAATTTGTATTTACTGTGTTTGACTATATCCATTATGCATATACATATATCAAAATGATATTTATAATGTTTAAGTTTTTGCATAACAAATACAAGTTGATTGCTAAGTTTATTTAAGTTTAGTGTTATAAAGTGCAGTTAAATAAATAGTTCCTTGCTTTAAGGGGATATGCTCAGTCAGGAGGCCGAAAGAATGAGTAATTTGTGGGAATTTTTGTCTCAAAAATTGTAAGACCCTTTTCAAAAAACATTTTCGTATTTGAAACAGTGTATTTTAGAGAGTATCTCGTTATTTTTTTATTCAAAAATATTTATCAATAACGAAGTTGTGGCCGATCCCTCCCGGAGGTCCTCTAAAAAAAAGGTGTTGTGCATTTTGTGGTGACCACTGTTGCTTAGTACTGGATCATCTGAAATAAAAGATTCAAAAAGATTTATTTAATGTATTAAATCATCTATTCTTTGAACGAAGGATTTTCGAAATATTTGTAATGAAGTGGCGAATGTTTTAAGGTCATGTTGTGATTTTTCACAAAAACGTCGCTCGTTTCTGGTCAATACAAAAAATATGCAACGAAAAGAAGTCCTTCCTTCAAAGTCTAGATAATTTAATATATTAAATACATCTTTTTGAATTTTTAATTTCAGATGATTCAGTACCGACCAGCATTGGTCATCACAAAACACTTTTTTTTTAGAGCACTCCCTGGCGATCAGCCACGACTTCGTTACCAATAAATATTTTTAAATAAAAAAATTACGAGGTACTCTCTGAATTACACTATTTCAAATACGGTAATATTTTTTAAACAAGGTCTTACAGTATTTGAGGAAAAAATTCCCAAAAATCACTCTTTTCTCGGCCTCCTGACTGAGCATAACCCTTAAAGTAACAAGAACACCCGTTTAACAAAATATTATTGTTTTTCGACTACATTTATTATACATTATTAAGTCGTTATTTGTAATTTAGTAAATCACAAGATTGGATAGATCATTTTACCACAAACCGAACATGGGAGATGATATTTCTCTTTGACTATCCTCGCGTCCGTTCCCCTTTCTCTCCTATCCATCGACGTACGATTGCGTCTGCTACAATTACGTGTTCGAAACCAAAAAAAGAACCAAATACTGAGCAATTTATTTGGCACGCACGCCCAACACGAATATTACCGTAAATTTTCACGCCGTGCTAGCGGAGCTCCCTTGTTTTGAATGTCCATTAATCTTTCAGTTTGTTTGCTCTTTCATTTGCTCAAGTTTGATCTTATTTGCTAGCGTTGCTTGTATGCGGACATAGCCTCGAGAGCCATGACGTGGGCTCGAAGACGCACTTACAATGATTGATGTAAAGGAAAATGAATCGACCACACGCTTACCTGCTTGGCCTTGCGGTTCATCGTCCATCCTCACGTCCAGTGCTGCGTCTTACCGCGAATCAAATACTAATTCACGCTGTTAAATTTTAATACATTCGGTGAACAGGATCTGACTTCACGGAATTCGCAGTGGCGATCGAAAGTTCATACCTTTCCATCATTCGACTAGAAAATCGTCCTTCGTGATTTATTGAGGAGATATTATATTAATTATGCAGATTTACCTCTTAAGCATTCGCTAAATTTTAGAACACCTTTTTATTTTCTTATTTTACTATATAAATGCTTATAAAGTTGTATCAGACAATATTTTTCGAAAAATGCTTGTACTTTTGTATATAGGTATAATAAGAAATGGTACATATAAAATTCAACTACGTTTGCACAGGGTAGAATTAATTAGATAAAAAAAAAAAAAAGAAAAGAACAGGAAAGTTTGAATAAAACAATAGAATAATATAATTACAATACGTAATCATATAATACGTGAGTAGTACAAAAGAGGCGGTCATATTTTATTGAACGTAATATTACGGAGGTAGATCAATTGGTAAGGAAAACTAACGCATACCAGAGGAATAGAATAATTGTCTAAAGGAACGATTATTTGATATTAGTCTTAACACTATTCAAAGATTTGTAATGAAGGTATTATAGATACGTTCATCTAAAATCTATCAATTTTGGATTTTTAGAACAAGAATCTTTTTATTTCTGTTATGTTTCTATGTTCTTTTAGACACATTTAATAAAACTCCTCATATTGTATACAAATAAATTACATAAATTGTTTTTCTATACTTTTTCGTAATCCATAATAATTGATTACATTCTATCTTTATAACTTTTTCGTGAAAAACTATAGAAACCTGCAATAAAAATTGAAACTGTTTAAAATGCCTAGATTACATTATTATAACAGATGCTTTACAATTTGCATTCACGTTAATTTTTTCTGAAATTCGTGTATATTTAATGATAACCTGCCAATATCGGTACAAATTTCATCGACCTAACGTAATATTTTTCCAATTCCAATAAACACACTGACAATTTTACTTCAAGGTGAAAACACCTCTTAAGGTGCATATCCACTTGTTGCGTGTCCTCGTATCGTATCACCATTGTGTATCAATGTGGATGGACAAGCGTTGTATCGTTGCGTATAAAAATGTGTCATATGGTGATACGATATAAGAATACGCAGCAAATGGATACGCACCATTAAAGGTTAATTTAAGTATTTCTATTTTATTATGTCTTGAGAACTATACTAGATATCAAAAAATTATTAGAATAAAAATTTAATGGGTTCCTATGCTCTATAAAACTATGCGACGAAATTTGGATAAATTTGTTTATCTTTTAAATATCAGATTTTTTAATCCATTAAACATTCGTTGTAATATTTTCTTCTATCTACTCTACTTTTCAAGATGTAAAGGAAACTAGGAAAACATAAAGTAACCTTCAAGGGGTGTTTCCGCTCTGAAGAATCAAAAAGTAGCAAAAAGAAAAAATTGCCTGATATTTCTATTGGGATCCTCTACAGATCTACAAAAATATCAGAACAACCAGAATTTTCGAATTTAACGAAGTTCCCTTACGAGTCGTCAACTACCCTATCCTTCGAATACCATAATTTTTTACCGTACATTTCATACACTTACTACCAAGCTTCTGTCGCACCCAATATATCGCTAAAAATGAAACCGCAGTATAAACCAGTTCGAGTCATACAACTCACCCCACATTTTCAAATTCACGAATAAACCACGAATCCCAGTAAAACTTCGATCGCCACTGCAAACCATTTTCAATCGCAACCGATCACGATTCTACGCGTCTCGAACATCGAGTTTCCACGAATTCTAAGGCACAGTAGGTGGATCATTAGTACAACACACATCAGAGACCGTATTACGAGCACTGATCATTGTGGGGTTATGTTTTGCCACGGAGGGATTGCCCGCGCGATACGCAATCGAGTAATTACCAAGCTGCGTGCAAGTCCTCGAAAATGTCTCGCGTCCTCGTTCGGAGACAAGATCGGCGACCCACGAAACGCTAACAAGATCTGCTATTTTTCCAGAGTTGTTCCGAGCCACCGAGTTCCTGGTGCTCGACGAACGGCAGCTTTCGACACAGCGACTCATCCTTGTACCCGGATTCCTTGAACCAGGAGACGTCGTCGGTGACCGGCTCCACCAGGGTGGAATTCATCATCGGCTCGCCGACCAGACGATTCCGTCAGAGCTCTGTGTGGCCGCATCGTTACTTCGATAGTATAGATTCCACGGCTATGCTGCCCGAGAGCCTTCTAACCGACGAATTCTCTCTGAACCACGGCGAGGCCCTCGCCGAATGCGATTCCCTCGACTGTCAGCCTTTGATTCTTAAAGCGCTTGAAGACTGATACCTGACGTGTATCTTTTCATTGGTACACGGCGTAAAAGAGATTGAGATCCATTGCTAGACTGCGGATGTTTCTGTAGATATAAATTTTCTGTGGGACTAGGTTACTTTAATTTCTTCTCGTTATTAACCCCACGTGACACACTGGTCCAGAATAAAAATTTCTTTCATGTTCCAAAAAAACTGACATCTACTTATTATTAAGCATGGAAGATTTGTTCTATGCAGTATTGTTCACCTCAGACCCTTTCGTGTCATTGATCTCAGTCAAAAAAAAGAAACGAAGTCCCCTGAAAATTCGTGCTGTCAATGAAGATACTGAGAACATTGTTGCTGATGTGATTGAAAATATGTTCATTTATCTATTTCTATTTGGAAAAAATTGTAAGCTTCAAAATTTCTTGATTGCTTGAACTAAATGAGCGTACGAGCTGTTAAATTTTTATTCTGTACCAGTGTGCGTCGGACGCAATGTGATAGTAAGGGTGTCGCGTCGCGTATACAGTTTTTAGAAATACCGTTATGGGGTTTCCTAGCAGCTGCTAAGACCAAGAGTAGGATTTGCTACGTGACTTTTTCATTAATTTCCATACTGCGTAACTCGGGCTTTCTTTAATTGCTTTATGACCCTTTATGCCTCGAGTCAGGCAAAGAGTGTTCGCCATGTGGGCGAATATTACCTGCGACGGAAGTCCGGTCTCCGCGCGGACCGACGTTACCTTGCCGTCGAGTACAATAGAAAAGGACTTTCCACCAGTCATAGGGCTTGTAGCTTGTATTAGCCAATGAAAATATTCACTGCGCTTCCCACCTACGCGTCAACACACCACCAGCGCCACGTACACCGAAAGACTTTGTAGTTTGTTAGTTTGCTAAGCAGAACAACACTGTCCGTCAACAAGTAAACATTAACTCCGATAATCATAGAGATTCTTGTATCAAATTTGTTATACTGTAACTCACAACCATAGTTCAGACTAGTTGATTGTTTAATAAATAAATTTATACAGTCCACTTTTCAATACACTCAAACATCAATAACCCGACGTTTGAGATACGCGGAAGAGTTCAGCAACTAAGTTGAGCAGCCGCGTACGGTACAAAGGGGTTTATCTTCTGTTTTAACGAGATAATATTCTTTTTGTAAATAATTTAATTTAATGATATATAACTATTTTATTGACAGTATTAGTGATATTGCAACATTAGGCTAAGAATAAAAAATACTAGAAACACTGAATGATTGGTTTGGTGATTATTAGCTTGTTGTCACGTGTTGTGTCTGTGAGGCCATTTGCGTCCGATGGAGGGTTGAAGGTTCTATAAGGTTTTAAGTAAAATAGAAATCTCATTAATTTTGGTTACACACCTTATAGTGCTGAGTTTCATGTAATCTTGTATGCTATAAATGCATAAATATCCGCAGTCCAGTTATTGCAAGTCTCAACGATTAGTTCGCTTTTTAGGTATTGAAAAACATGATTGTAGTTTGAATATTCACTTGACGTGGTACGTTATACCCGTTAGGATCGTCACTAAGTAAACTATGGATGTTTATTCAAATGTACTGTTTTATGCATTGATTTAAGAAGAAATGTATTTTATTAACAGATGGCGGATAGAGAAAACTTTCTTCTTGAAGTTTCGAAGAAAATCTACAGAAAAATTTTCTTTTGCTAAAAGCTATATTAGATTTGCAACAAAAATTGGGTCCACTTTAATTTGTGAAAAAACAGTCCTTACATTGATACGGATTTGAACGTCGGTCAAAATCGATGTAGGCGAATCAGTGTCAACGTAATTGTCGGGGAAACGATTCATGGTCGATTAAGGTGAACCCAAGAAATGTAATGAACTGGTTTAGAATTTCTGTTGTACTGTGTTTTATGAATTTGTGTGAACTATAAGCGCACAGAATCCGTAATCTAATCATCACATCGGAATAAAAGTGACAGTGGATATTCGAACTACCTGAAGTGTAAAATTGAAAGTTAGTTTGCTAGTTAATCATATGAGTGTCAGGTAAACCGTGCTGCGATCGACAAGGAAATGCTTCGTCGTGAAAGAATATAATTGAGAAAGTGCAGTAACTGTTTTTCATTGGATGTATCAGGTCTAGTAATATTTAATGTCGTTTTCCAATACATTTTTAAAACTAATTTATTTAAACGAAACAAAACAATTTAATGAACGATATAGTTGCCGTTGTTTTCAACTACTTGTGCCCAACGCTCAGGTAGTATCTTGATTCCTCTATTGTAAAATTCTTGTGACTTTGATTCAAAAAATTCGGTCAAGGCGTTTTTGAGGCACTCTTCATTATTGAAATGTTTTCCAAGAAGAAAATTTTGCAAGGAACGAAACAAATGATAATCGGATGGGCCAATATCTGGAGAATATGCAGGTTGTGGGAGAACTTCCCATCCCAACTGGCGTAGTTTTTTCGCCGTGATTCTTGCAGTATGCGATCGTGCGTTATCGTGATGAAGAATTACGCCCTTCCGATTAATCAGCGCGGGTTCTTTTTCTCTCAAAGCTCGGTCTAACCTTTCCAATTGTGCACTATACACTTCACTTGTAATGGTTTGGTTGGTTGGTAAGAGTTCATAATGAAGAATTCCTTTAAAATTCCACCAAACACACAACATCACCTTTTTCGCATGCAAGTCAGGCTTTGGCGTGGGCTGCGGCGCTTCGCTTTTGTCCAACCATTGTGGCCGTCTCTTCAGATTAACATAAAGCACCCATTTTTCATCTCCGGTAACAATTTGCTCTAGAAACGGCAATCGGTTTTGACGAGAGAGGAGCAAACTGCAGATTGTGACTCTTTGATTGCGGTTGTTTTCGGTTAATTCATGTGGAACTCACTTTCCAAACTTTTGGGCCTTACCAAGTGACCGCAATTGATTGCAAATAGTTTTTTGCGAACAGTTTAAAGCTGTCGCAAGCTCTTGTTGCGTTATTTGAGGATTTCTAACCAAAAGAGCCTGAAGTGCTTCCTGATCAAAATTAGACACACGGCCTCGACCACTCTCGTCATTCAACGAAAAATTTCCCTCGCGAAATTTCTTAAACTAACGCTGGCATTTTCTGACGCCAACAGTATCTTGACCAAAAGCACTACAGATATGTTTTGCAGCCTCATTTGCTTTTCTTCCCAACTGGAACTCGTAAAGCATGCAATGCCGAATATGCTCTTCATCTGCCATCCTTTAACCCTAGTTTCGCAAAGTAAAACAGTTCGAACACAAACTTTTCGCAGCAAAACTTGTTAATTACGCTTCACACTTTTTGTATGTACCACGCGTTTGTAGGTTATGTTGATGAAGTTAGCGGCAAGCAGGATTCTAAACGAACACTACAAAACGACACTAATTATTACTAGACCTGATACATTCTGTGAGAGAAATGTTTCCGAACAAGAAACTTCGAAACCATAGATATGGGTATGTATAAATGAGTTTATAATATAATTTTTGAAAGTTTTCGTTGATATTGATTTACTTTAGAAGATAATGATAATAAATAATTAAATTTAACACAAGTAAAATGTAGAACATAATCGAATTGTTAATATTGAATTTTTAAGGACTTATTTTTTAAAACTTTCATTTGTTATTCTGATACTTTATTTTCGGAAAATTTTTTATCGTGTTCGATACTGAAAGTTTTTGTGAATTCTCGTATTTATAGTTGTTTTCTAGGGATCAAACTAATGTAAAAATTTATTTTGCTAATCAAGAGAATTATTAAATTAAAAAGAAAGTAAAAACTCTAGTCAACTTTGTGAAAATTCCTTTTCCGTTAAGTTTATCATAGTTTCCAGGGTTTAAGTACATAAAATTCAGACTCAAGTAATGTTTTATAAATATTGGGTCTAATCACGCGTCAAAATATCAATATCCATATTTATGAAGAAACAGTTACCTACGTAGTAGTTTCATCTTCGAAGTCATTTTTCTCGAATAGTACGTAATCCATTGGACGAACGCGATCTATTCTTTGCTTGTTTATTTAACGAAGAATCAATTTCTCACCGGATGTGTATCGTGGTTTACAAGACACTACGTATAGACCCATGTGCACAGTGCTCGAATGACTTTCGTCATTTGTAAATCGTACAACATACATGGCCTACCAGATGCAATCACTGGAGCACTGTGCACTCTACCAATAGAAGAATTCTAGGAAACATTCATATTCTGAAAAAGAAACGTCAGGTATAAGTGATAACAAATATTTTCATCTGTATTGAAAGAAGCTTTACTTTCAGGCGAATGTAGAGGCATTTTGCAATAAGAATGTGTTTCGAATGTATAATAACGAGTGCGATGTGTAATCTTTTATTTTGTAATTTCCTATTGGAGATGAAGAAATAGGGAAAAGTGCTAAAGAAGAGACAAAGGCGTTCGTATTTTGAGAAATAAATGTCAGGGATGAATGATTATCAAGTAACCAACATCCTTTTATACGCATAAAGAGAAATCAACGACCGAAGAGAACATGTATATCAGTTATTTTTACAGTAGCTTATGGTATCATTTCTTTTGCAACCGTTACTGCGCTTCTAATTCGTACTCAGACTGCATTTCCGTCACGTAGACCTGGTCTGCGCAACAAGATTCTACTTCGTATCTCGCGCGCTATGGAATTGTCCCTCATAATGCACTGTTGATTATCACAAAAGGACAGCTTGCACATAATCCTCGTCGAATTATGCTGAAACGAGATGTTTTTGTCAAAATTTGAAACTATACATTCTACACCGACGTGTGTTCACTTGCAATTGTCGAGAGAAACATACTGATGACGATTTTACAAAGAGAACAATTTCGGTTTTTTATAAAATTGCAATTTTATAACTGTTTGACGGATATGTAATTTATCGAAGACATCGTATTGTTAACAACCGTAGCTTGGTTGATATTTTAACGTTTCTTTTATGACAAATACAAATCAGTTGCTAAGTTTCCACGGAGCTTACTTGTGAAATACAGGAGACATGTATGAAACTTTGTTTGAAAAATAATTTCATATATTTGTATTATTTACCATTCTGATTCAGTTAGTGCAAAATTTCTAGTATTTTTTTTCAAGAATATCAGTCCTGTTATGCCTTTTTCCGATTTCAACTACAAAGTAATCATGCTTGCTTATACACAGTAAGCTTCAAAGACAAATTTCTTGAACAAACTTACAAATTTTTTATACACGTCTGGTGAAAATTAGTTTATTATATTTTATATTGAATCGACTAATAATGAAGTTTCTGATGTTTAAGTTTCAGTACATCTTAGATGTATATCTTTATATCATAAGACTGTACCTATGTATCTTTTGATATAGTAACATAATTTTATTAATCTTTTCGTGCAGGAGTTAATTTGTACAATCAACTAATTTTTTTTTTTTAGTTGAGAATTCACTGAATTTTTATACATATTCTACGTAGAAACGGATCGAATTCATTTTTCTACAATGCAAAATACTGTTTTTTATATTCAGGTTTGGTCTTGAGAGAAGTGTCAACAATAAACATTTCTTCTTTTTTCTGTAAATAAGAAAAAAATATTACCGAACGTGATGATTAATAACGCCTTTGTTTAATTACTTATAATTTATACATACCAAACGAGACATACATGTATAATCTAGTAAATAGCAATTTTCCATTGCCACGTTCAACGAAAACCTTTAAATATAATGAAACATATATATGAAAAATCCAAATTTCATTATTATCATTAAAATCATGTACGACTATATTTAGTATACCAACTATTTTCTACGTTTTCGTGACATCACTCCATTTGTCTTTTTTTACGACAATTTACCACGAAAAGGTTAATAAAAATCAACCGCCGGGCATGTATCACGACCACTGTTTTAGCACATTCCAAGCTGTGAATCCGAATAACCAACAATCTCATATTCCATTATAGCATTTGTACCTTTCGTTTAAATCTGCGTTGTAATTAATATAATTTATTTATTGTGTGAGTGTGAAATGTGCAGGACTTTGTTATCGAACGTTCATAGCAAGGAGAATTTACGGGATTTCTTATCGAGGCGTTATTTCCCCAGAGATTTTATCTACGAATACCAAGAGGGACACGAAAACCACGAGTAACTGGGCAAAGCATAGAGAAAAGGTTTGCACCGGTTATACGAATAGAATTTTTAGAAAGCTTTCCCAAAAATACACATATCACGCGTGGTGACTTAAGAATGTATCGATCTTCGACAATATGCTCGTTCACCACGCGACATTTAGAGATTCATCGCTGTTGGAACTCTGTAAAATTATCAAACGTTTCTTAGTCGAATCGGAATCGAAATCATCGAAGCTCTCGAAGCGACAAACATGCTCGTTGTCGTTGGGTTTTTTCAAAGCTTATGAAGGATATCAACATGAAACGGACTTTACCGTCCAAAAATTTAGGATTACATGGAATTCAAAATGAACGTATACATACGAGTACTTTTGTAGTTCTTAAAGATATGGAAAATATTCTTAAGAATATAATTATAAACAGAGAAATGTCTGAACTGATTTTTCCTTAACAATAGTTTATCTTCAAGGGCTAGAAAATCCTTCAAGTGTGTCTTTTTAAGTAATTCACCTAATTAAAATGATAAGAAATCCTGTCTTCAATACCTTCATTTTCGTAATGTGTCACACAATAAACAGTAACTCCAAACTTTTGGATGGTAGGGTATGTGCTGTAAACTCTTTCAAGTTGCATTCTATCAGTCCTCAGAGATTCAATGAAACATAACAGTAAGACTGCTAAATATTTTTCAATTATATGTATTGTTTATTGGATAATATCCTTTCGTAGTTGTAATGTAGCAGCAGTCTGATCTATGAAAAATAAAATTATCACAAATTTGATTATATCTCATTAAAAAGGCTTTTAATAGATCAAAGAAAGTTAGTTTTATCAAATCGAGTCCAAAGCTATCAATTTACGTACAAAAAATGTTGGTGGTAGACTACTAAAAAGAAAATAGACTACCCAGCAAACTACTAAGCAACTAGTAGACTGTTTAGAAAATGACTTAAGAGTTAAAGACTACTTAGATCTTAGTAAGACTACTGATCTTAGTATGTAGGTATATGAAATACCTAGTACGTCATCATACAATTTGAAGCAATCCGAAATTGGAATCTAATTTTTGTGGTATATTTATCTGAAAGATCTTACATGTTTGTTAGAAATATTTTTATTGAGATACAATGAGAATTGTACACATTCTGTTATTCATATGTGAGACTAGTGAAATCAACTGTAAGCTTCGTTCTTCATCTTGGGTCCAAGTTTACTTGAAGTATTGTATCTATAAACTGAAAGCAGGGATTCGCTAAATGCTCTTTGCGAATTTCAAGCCACGAAGGTTTATCGAGTTCCTGTTGCATTTTACTGAATAACATTTCTGCACTCTGCAAATCGTATAAACACTATTCTTGCATCCGAATTGAATTACCATTGTCCCTGAATCTTTCGAAGCTTTGAAAATACCACACATTCAGGATTAAAATGTGCTCGATAGAAAAGTAAGTACGTTTCCATGTCTGAAAGAAAAGAAAAAACCGTTGTAAAAAGCGAGTATGACATTTATTATAAACGTATTCGTTAGTGGGGGCAGGTGTTACCGGGTCAGGGGATTCCATTTAGTCGAAAACGTAAAGCGTACGGTGAATCGACGAAAAACTACTACGTACCACACAGTTCCTTGCTTCAACCAATTTCGTTATTTATAAAACTGGAGAGAAAGAGAGAGAAAGAGAGAGTTTATGGGTGACGATCGTGAAAACCATCGAGCGTGCGTTTATGTAATCACAGAGCTAAACATGTGATCCTAGTATAAATAATAATCGCGCGAACTTATGTGATTAACTTTAGCTGAACTGATAGGACTGACGGACTTTACTTATTATTTTAGCGTCTAAATATACTTTAACGCGAACCCACGAAACCAAAGTCGAGGGCCGTGTTTCGCGACTCACGATGGTTTTTCCTTCTTAGGCCGCCGCCGCCGCCAATCGCCGCCGCCATTGTTGTCCGCGTGTACGGCGAACGGATCGCGGACGGAAAGTAGACCGCGATGAAGAGAAAGAAAAAATGCTCACATTAACTAATTAATTGTTCGTGCGCGCGCGCGCAGCCGGCATACTTCCGTGTCTGCCGACTGGATGGCTATTATTTTTATACCTTAATTAAAACGATTGTGAGAGCGAAAGCGATACAAAGAGTGTGTTGCAGTGAACTGCGACGACGTTTAGCAGCTTCCTTTTTTCACTCGATGATAGTCGTTTTATCGTCGATGTATTATACTTGGGTGAAATACTAGCTTAAACTGGTCGATGAACCCGCGGATACACGGGGTTCGTTGGCTATTGTTTTATTATCGACACAGACACACACACACACACACACACACACCGACATCATTTGTATCTGTATATATGTACGGCATCGTGAATTATTTAAAGTTAGTTTAATGTACAGAACATCTGTGTAACGATATCTGCGATAATGTGATTCGATTAATAAATACGATATTACGTAGCGAAAGCGGTTTCTCTTTTCCATTCCATTCAGTAACAGAGCTCTTAAATGTTTCTGTGATGTGAATGATATAAGGCGAACGATATTTACTTTTAAAAAGAAAGAAAGGTATTCGGTATATTTAAAGTTCAGGATGAATCAATTAGAATCATTATTATTGAAAATTTCATTGAAAAAAATATTTTTATTATATGAAATATGAATATTTTAGAATTATTGTTTTCGTTCGGTATTTCATAATATATTTCCTCAATGTGCATACATCATATATTATCATTCTTTTTATAAATTGGATCTGTGACCAATAAAATAATTATTCTTGAAAAACGAAGTCACACAAATATTAATTGACAACTTCATGGCATTTTGAAATATGCACTTCTAATAAATTGTCAACAAAGTAACAGATGCTTGAGAAGCTTCAATGGCGTAGAAAATGTTATGGTATGCGTAAAAATGTTACGTGCTTTTAAAATATGATTGAAGCAAACATTTCATAAACAATCGAATACTAATGAGCCTAAAATTTTTTAATATTATTTTATCATTATCTACGTATTTCCGTTTAAAATTAAAACGAGCCCGGCAAATTAAAGCAATATGTTTAAATCGTGTCCCAAAATTTAATGTTTCCTGATTTTATCATAATACTCCAGCGCGGGAAAAATATTTTACGTGACTATAATTATATTTAAAGACTACAGTCTTTCTAGATAGTTCTTGGACTTTGCAAATACGTATTATTCAAATTAAACAGTTATTCTTATGTTATAAAAAAATATATACTGTAGTAACAATTACAGATTTCGAATGAATACTTCTTAAGTGTGAAATTATTTTATATCAATTCAGCCTAACCACCTTCATATTATATTAATCTATCATTACGACTCACTTCATCATGCCATGTTTTATTTACTGTACTTAACTGTACTTAAATATTTATTAAGGTTATCTTGCTGCATGGTCGAATAGTCAGGTATGTAAATAATGATTTTACGTATTTAAACGAGTTTAGTTTTGAGTTAGGTTTAGTTCTTTTTAGTCTTCCGCAAGTGAATTATGGTATATGACACTTAACACTAGAACTATCAGCATTGAATGTATACATATTAAATTGTATAATACAATAATATACAGAATATATAAAACAATCTAGGATAATAAACCATGAAATGAAATCTGTATCGAATTAAAAGCCAACATAAATTCCGTCAAAAGCACCACCATTATAATTCCAGTAATGGACAATAATGGTAGAATAGTAAATCTGCAATCTGTTATTTTGATGGGTTTGGTGGTTCTAGTGTTATCCAATTTATTATTAGACAAATAATTAATTTCGAAATCCCATTATACAAAGCGTTATTTCGTTCCAAATTATATAATATAATGGAATATAATGTGGGTAATAAATAATTAACACGACTAAATTGTTTTGGAGACTTATAAAAGTTTTACTTTACCGAGTTGATATCCAAATAACTTAGTTTCGCTATGGTAGCTACACGTGAAGGTATACTTTACACAACAATCTCGGAAGAAACTTTGTTTAACGTCTACAGACAACAGAACAGGAAACAAAGTGAGACTCCTGTTGACGAGGCATTTGCAAAATGTAATGATATAGTACAGTTTGTATACAATATAAAGCCACAGTACATACACTTCATTTCTGATTAAATAGAGATTAAATAATAATACAAATTAATTAAATATTAATTAATAATAGAATCAAAAAGCAGCAGCATTGTCATTTCCTTTTCCTCTGTGATTGCATTTATTGTGTGGCCTCACTTCATAAAAATGGTTGGTAATGACCTATATGTATAGATCATACGACCTTGTACAAATAAACATAAAAGAAAAAAGGATGCATTGGCTCCTCGTGATATTAAAGTATCGTGTTTCACCTTCGTATCAGGTCAAACTACAGAATTCAATTGTTGTACGGCCAGTGCACGAGGCCGACAATTAAAATTCAGTTGCCTTCACCTGTCGGGGGCATCGTTGGAAGTCCGAGAACGATACTTCCGGATATTTCACTGAAGGCATAAAAAGGAGGGGAAGGACCTTGCGGGGTTCCGAGGAACTCGTGATATGGCCGACAAGTGAGGCTTCGCGAGACCCGCTTCGAAACCGCCATTTATTGCCCTCTGCATTCTGTCCCGATGATAGGTCCAACAGAGCGAAAAACGCGGAAAACCAGGATGAAAATGAGGAAGAGGAATACGATCCTGTCGCGTGTCGTCCAGCGGGTCCAATGACTTCGTACGAATCTATATATCATTTACTTTGAAGTTTCCTTTTTTTTTTGCTTTTCTAAGGAAACGGTATTTCAACATGCTCCATTGACAAGCAATGAAAAGTGAGATTGCATTACTCTGACTTGAAAGAAAATAGCGTAGCTGTTAGCAGTGCTGGCGCCAGGTTATTTTGCGCTCTAGACAAAGCTAATTAACACGCCCTCTATTTTACAAATTAGTTACGTTTTTCTTAACATTGAAATTGTAAACAAAGAATATAATAATTTGAACCCACATACTTATTATCAATTGCACAAAAAAAGTGACACATAGATCATAACATTAAAATTGAAGTTTTCCTGCCTCTTTCCATCGCAAAATTTTCTACTAGTTCCTTCAAATCAAGTGTTGAAGCTTGGTCGTATTCAATTGAAATTGTTGCCAAATCTACGTATCTGTATTGCGACATTGTTGAGCGTAAGTAAGTTTTAATAAGTTTTAACTTTGAGAAACTACGTTCATCACTTGCCACAGATACTGGAACTGTTAGAAGTATTCTTAGTGCAACAAAAATATTAGGTACACAATCGACCAATTTTTGTTGTACTATAAAGAAAAGTACTTCGTCGGATGACATAGATTTTGGAAGTCATCGAGCTACTGCTTGAAGTTCGTTGCAGAGATCCTCAGCGTCAATATCTTTGTTGGAATTATGAGTCAAAGACTTTAAAAAATTTTTTTTAACCAGACTGGCTGGACTTTTGCGCCTTCTCATGGTTTACGGCCTAGGCGACTGCCTATAACGTCTTAATAGTAGCGTTGGCCCTGGCTGTTAGAGTATCGATAGGTGTACCTACAGTGAATTTAGAACGGAAATAAAGGGACACGTAACCAGGCGTTTGGTTGTAACGTACAATGATTCACACATTCGTTCATATATTTCTGAATTAACAATTAAGTCTAAACGTTTGTTGCATTTTCAGTATCTTTAGTTTTGCCATTCCTTCGTGATAAGGTTCGTCTTAATTTTGAAATAAAATTCGCATTTTGGTAAATACATAATTTCATCAAATAGAAGTGACTATCTTCTGTGAACTAACTTGTCAGTCTAAATTGTATTATGTTTGGGTACCTGAAAGTACAGTTTAATATACATTATTCGATATAAGACAGACAGAAACTTTGTAGATGACAAAATGTTCAGACAGTTGTTTAAAAAATAGGGAAATGAGAAATATGTGAAGAATGTTCGATTGTTCAAACTTTAGGTATGTTAATAAATTTATTTCGAGTATTATTATATTGCTCGAAAATTTTAATTCGTTCAATTCTTCGTTTGTACTCTTTGCTATTGTTAGTGAAATTACGAATTTTTTCCTGCAAGGCCGTACATGTTAACAGAGAACAAATTGATATGTACACAAGAGTGAATTTCTATTTCTCACTTAAACGATAATAAGGCAAGACATAATCACGTGCAACGATAGAGAAAAGATATGTTAATTCTATAAGTCAATAACTTTCAATCTATTTGGTAGTATCTCTTTGCTGTCGAACTGACGAGTAGAATAAATATATCTTTTAATTCGTTTATACAGGTTCTGACGTCCTTTCTGGTACAAGCAACAAGTAGGCGATTCGAAATGCAAAAATAAATCGAAAATCTAGAAAATAAATATAGAATACAAAACTTTCTTTTCGAAAAAGAATCGAAAATGTGAAAACTTATCGGGTGCGCATACAACAGAATATAGCTTCTGTGTCAATTATTGCTTATTTTTATTTGTATTTATGTTTATAAATTTGTCGTAATATATCATTATTTATTTCTCACAATAATTTCGTACAAAGTGTTACTTAATAATGAAGCTACTAGAAAATGAACGATAGAGTTTACCAACGTCTTTGAGTGTCATAAGTGGACTGCGGATTTTATGCATTTATTGCCAATAGAGCTTTGTGTAATACAATAGAGAAAAAACTTTCGATAGGTGCAATGTGTTTTCGACTTTATTCTGAACACAATAAGATATTTCAGAGAAAAAAAAAATTCCTATCTTTGCTGCTGTCTTCAAAAATTACTTAAAAAAATGTCATTTTGCATAAAAATCCGCAGTCTAGTCATAAGTCGTAACAGCAAGTATTAGACAGACATAGCTAGGTATATTTTAGTGCACATATGTTCGGTGTATTTCCAAATTTAATTTTGTCACAAACGAAGCTGCGTAAGATAAAATGTTATTCTATACTTTTAATTTGTTTTTGTATGTACCAGAATCACTAAGCTTTTCAGACACATGATAAACAACATCGTAAATTAACGATCTTGTCAAAATTGACTTTGACTTCAGATTATAATTTTATAATCTCGGTAATAATTTAACTGCGTATGTTTATGCAAATATAAATTTGTATGGATTAATAGGTATATAGAATCTAGAATCGATCAGAAATTTGTTTAATAAGAACTTCATTGAATAAAATAAACAACTACGTTAAAATTAATTAAACATTTTACTATACAGAATTTTAGACAATTGTTTTCACTATATGAAGAAATCCACAGTCTAGTAGTAATTATTTACTAAATTAATCGTCAAAATAATTCTAATTCTCATTTTGTTCGTTTAGTATACATATATGTATGTATATAAAATTGAACGGTGCTAATTGATTAATAACGCCGTTGTAACCTATATTACTTAATATAAATACTGTATATGTTCATGAAAACCGAATAAGGTATTCTTTCTAATTAAATTATTACATTATTTCAGGGATTTCACTGTGTTGATGCATCTACTGAAATCCTCGATCGGCACAGGGATACTTTTCTTACCCAATGGATTTAGGAGAACGGGCTACACATTGTCAATAACTTGCAGTGTCATCATCGGATTATTGTGTACTCATACTGCTGTCACATTGGTCAGTAATTTAAACATAACGGGAAAAAGTAATAAATAAGAATGAAATAGTACTTCTTGTACTAATTAAGAGAAATTACTCTGCACAATATTATACAATCATAGAAAAAAAATTGAAATTTCGTGAACATTTAATAGTTTTAAATAAAAAAAAATTAGTTCAGAAACTTATACAGTGTACAAACGAAATTATTATTTTTATTTTTACATTTTCTTGCAATGTGGAAACTCAGATATGTATGTACACGTATAAACATTCTATAGCAGAGAAAAACGTTAACAAAATTATCTAGAACACTCAATATTTATTTATAATGTATAGATAAGTGATTCGATAATGTTCCAATCAGTTTTGAATGCCAATTATCTAAAACGGGAGTATTGTTCAATTTACATCACGTTTGAATAGGGGTTAACTGGTTTTAAAAAAGTTTTTTTAATAATTTTAAAAAATAAAAAAATAATGTTTCAAAGAATGAAACATTCCAAAAAGTCTGTTATCCTTTTTTCCAAACAAAACATAGGAAGAGTCAATTTACTGCAACATAATTAATCAGACAAAACAGACCAGATGGCGTTAAATTTAATCACTTAACGCAGTTTCTATTTTCCTTGCTCACTATTTCTCATAATATACCAATTTGAAGCTGCTTTACGAACAAGTTCTTTAGTAAAAGTAGAAATCTTTAATGTAAAGAAAGTGCATTCATTTTTTCGTTTTTGAAAAATCTATTCAGAAGAAGGTTTCATTATTACTTTAAGTGATATATGAAGGATTATGAAGGAAGATACATGATATTAGGATAGTAGAAGTTCTATTATACAGGGTGAGTCAATAAGAACTACGATGTAAAATAACTCGTTAGCTTATGGTTGTATCAAAAAACGTCTAAATGAATTACGTAGCATTTTGAAGGGCGCATCAGGTGGATACAATTTGATTTTTTTATATCTCATTTTTGTGAGACATCAAGGTGATCTTGAGTTATTTTAAGGTCAATGCTCCTTTGTTTTAATACCATCATAATATTGGTCGCTGAATTCATCCTTCCATCGACAACAAAGTGATATTAAAAAAAAGATGCATTGATTTTGAAAATACTCAAGGTCAACTTAATATCTCGAAAAAAATAAAATATAGAAATATCAAATTGAGGACCTTGCAGCTAAAGGGGTGCAGCTCCAGTTTTAGCAACGTCAAGTAAATTAGAAAAAACCGTTTATAAAATTATTGCTTTGAATTCAAATTACAAAAAAAATATTAATTGTAAAACATATATTTTCACACAATAAGCAGTAATTATTCAGTTGACTTTTCCTTCCCATGTATGGTGAATTTTTTAAATCTGGAGCTGCAACCAACTTGCACCAAAGTGTACGAAAAACGGTCACTTTTTGTTAATTATGCACAATAAAGAACACAATTTCTTGAATTATTGTTGCTTTATTAATTAAATATGGAAAAATACCCAATTTTTCAATTGGATCCTATTATTATAAAATTGCATTTCTTTAAAACAATTACAAAATAAATGGTACAGAAATAATTTTTTCTAACTGAAATCATTTTTATTTGGTAAACTTATGTCTCCACTTGTAAATACCCACGAAGCTCATTGTGATTAGTTTGATAGTTCACTAGTTATGATTTATTGAAAAAAGGTTGACCCTAAATTTCAAACAGCCTGTAAAATCAACAATTTAAAAAATTTATGGAATATATATATTTTTAAAATATATGTTTATATATGGTTAAAGACTACAAAATTCCCAAATGTGAGCACAATCCGAAATAGTGCTCCAAAAAGTGTCTGGTTCCGCGTGGAATGACTTTATAGCATAGCTAAATACAGCTTAATATGATAAAATGTTTTTTTTACATGATATATGAGGAATGTTGGGGGAGCATTAATCGTAGAAGAAATCGTGGCACGTGACGCACTGTACCGAATCGCTTTTGAAAACAAGTTCTCTGAATGCAGGTGCGATGCGCTCAGGTGTTATGCAGACGCAATCGCATACCGATGCTGGATTTCGCCAAAACGGCGGAGGTCTCGTTACAGAGCGGTCCACTGAGGATTCGAAAGTACGGGAAAATTTTCGGTGTGTTTACGAATATCATCGTCTGCGTCGTCCACTTCCAAGCGGTGGTGATATACACAATCTACGTAGCCACCTCCTTTCAGCAAGTGAGAAACGAGTCGTAACGTTCTTATCCATTCATGGATTCAGACTGAGGTCGCGGGACCCACTTTTCAGTTGGTGTAACAATCGATCATTTTTTTTATTTCTTGGTTCAATCCTTGTGGATTGTTCAGCTCAATCTAATACAAACTGAGGCTTTTTATTTTTAATTGTATTCTTTATTAATGAAACTTGTAAATTAATTTGACATCAGTAGTTAATACGGTATATGCAGGATGGTTTACACTAGTTTACAGAACGTGAACACGTCAGTTACTCGTAAATTATTGGCTGTATGAAAAATTATTATTAATATTAATAAAGAAATATGGTCCAAATTATGTTATGTTTGATCTCATTTTTATTGGAAGAATCCCATCGACATGTTAAAAATGTTTACTGATATCTCAGAACTGACTCTATACGATATAATACTTTTTTATGCAGTATTTCATACTTTATCGAAATTCGGAATGAAATATTGGGTATTCTATTTAAAACACTGAAGGTGACCGTTATATCTTGATAAAAATGTAACATGATAAAAAATATGATGTTGTTTAATATGTCCTGTATAAATTTAATATGTAAATGCAAATTTTGTTTATAATATTTGTTCGTACAGCTAATAATTTACAAGTAATTGAAGTGATCACGTTAGGTGAACCACTCTGTATAGATTATTGTATTATAATTCCTTAAATTCAACTTGGTCTAAACTAATGTCGAATTAAAGAAATATATTTACATTACATTTGATCCTTCTATAGTGTAGAATAAAAGGACCAAATGAAACGTGAATAGATTTCTTTAATTGTATAATATAGAAGGATCAAATGAAATGTAAATTTTAATACAATAATTTAATACAAAGAATTATAATACAATAATTTATTGAACAATGCACGAGGGTTAATATCGTACCCATTATGTGGTCATAAATGATAATTATTATGTTATTAGTACACACATTGAGAAAAATGTTGTCAGACATTTTGACAGATTCTTTGCAAGATTATTCTGAGTAAAAGTATGAACGCAGTAGATCCTAGTCAATTTCTACAGTATTGCAATTTTTTATAACTTTTACCTTTAATAGTAGGTTTGTAAACATACACAGTGACGGCTATAACAAGGTTTAAAAGAGGCAGTTTATAACAAAATCAATTATAAGTTAACAGAGAAGAAGTACATTTTTTCAATGATATACATTGTATAAAGTCAATAAATTAATACAAATGTACATATGTAAAAATGACGGAGTACGGTAAAGGGTCCAGAGGAGTTTGAAACTTGGAACCACTACGAAACTTTCACGGTGCATCGCGATGCGTTTCAACATCACACAAATCTGTCTTTCCTCCCCAAAAGCGGGGAGGGGGGCAATAAATTATGTGCTTGACATGTTCGACGAAGTGGTGGGGATGAAGTAGAAACTCTCACGAGGAACTTCCTATCCAACTCTTATGGAGCCTTTACTGTATGTAGTTTATAGCATGAGAAATACATAGTTATTTCGTCATATGTGTATGGATTTGAATACACCTTTTCATTAACGTATTTCGTGTGTTTGCTATGACAACATGTATGTTAACGATCTATAATTTTTCAATTACATTGTTACAAGTGAATATTCAAACATACTCTTCCCTTCATCATTTTTCCAGAGAACAGACAAATATCTGCTACAGAGGCATGAATTTGTTCTTCAGAGGAAATCATTTATATGAAAGGAATATTTATTTATAAATAAACAAATATAATGTAATCTGTATGCATAAATACGTGAGTTTTAAACTTTCTTTTGGCCGTCACTATAAGCTCTCGAAATAAGAGATCATAATAAGATTAAAACCAAACAACAGAATATCAGATGTAATTTATGTACGGTTGAGGGTTATGAAAAATGTGGAAAATGTATTTATTGAACTCGAGTGCAGACAGAAATCCATGAATCAACGATCATATACAAGATTTTAATTTACACACTCATTATTGGCGCAAAGATATTTTTTATGTTACTAAGATCGTAATTAGCATCATTCAGTTTTATAGATTGAAACTTTCTACTCCGAATTACAAAATCAACCTTGTTTTTCTGGCATTGAAGATTTCTTATTTCGATCGATTCGCCGATGCATGTCGAAGAAACGGTCCTGCGACCACAATCTGATTCTTACCACATTTACGAAATCCTCATTGGAACGCATAATAAGATTCGTTTAATGCTTCGAAGCATGCACGTCAATCTTTTAAAATGCACATTTAACACTGGAACTACTAAACCCTTCAAAATGATGGATTGCAGATGTGGTATTTCACAATTACTGAAATTATAATAGTGCTTTTGGCGGAACTTGTGTTGGCTTTTAATTTATTATACATTTTATGTTACACTATATTATGCTAAATCGTTCTAAATGTTATGTATATTACTATATTATACAATTTAATTTAGTATGACATTCAACGCTGTTAATTCTAGTGCTAAATGGCAGTATTTAGGAGGAGTTCCCCTAGTGGTGGACACTTAAGATTTTCCTTAGATAAATAAAACAATAATACTTTATTTTATTTTTATTCTGCATTAGCCACATAAGGATAGACTTATTTTACAAAAACCTGACAAAGATCACCTATGTTTTTTTTATTATCGGTTTAGTAAGAGAATAATATGCCTAATTATGTCATGATTAGAATTGCAGAAAAGTACCTACAATTAGTTTAAGAAATATCGCCTCTCTAAAAATTACAAAATCCACCAGTTGAACCATTGAAAACAAATTAACAATGAAAATAGTACAAATAGACAAACTGAAGTCCGATTATAGCCAGTAAAAACAAAAACGAAACATTTGGTCACGTGAATATACATAGTCGATTTTGTATAAATTCAATCCATTCAACAGGCTCAAGTTAACTCGGAGTAAAGGACACTTTACATCAAATCGATAACAAGTTAACCCAGGATATGTGCTTAACTGGTTAATTATAAGTTAACAACAATAGAAATCAAAGTAAGGGAACAAAATATTCAAATAAAATTAACATTGAAGTTTGGCTGCAGGACAGCATCAAAATAGTTTACAACGATCACAAAGTTTGTGATATATTGATGTATTGTGATATATTGATATATTGATATACTGATATTATAGATTTGTGATATATCAAATATAATTAATATAATCACCAGAACACTCAGAAATGTCGACACAAACCTCGTGAGCCCAAACTTGGCAGTTGGAGCATTGAATTTAGTCTTCATTATTGCTTTCTAAGCAAACAGACAGTTTCTTTGATTTTGTTTTTCGATATTAATGCACTGGTTTTCTTCATCTTCTTGGGTCTATTTGTCGTTTCAAATTCGGTTCTCAAGTTGTTCTTCTGGTCTTTAACTCCTTCGCGTAGCAGTTGTCGAACATACAGCTAATGTTCGATACTAGGTGCCGTCCGTGGCTAGGGGAACTCCCCCTATATACTACTATTTGGGAAACGTTCACAGTTACAATGGAAAAAATCAAAGTGATCTTTGCATCAAACATAATTTGACCAGATGATTTCTTTATCCAAAGTAAATAAGTTAAAAAAAAACAGATATCACACCTCCTTTGATTTTAAAGATATAATAAATGATGCTATGAGGACCGTTCTTTGCATAATAATACCGCGATCACCATGTTTGTGACTTGTAAATCGTAGCTTCAGGTGTTGAGATTTAATATATGATAAATGTTAGTTTTGTCCCTTTCATAAGAAGAGTAGTTCTTCCGAGTTTGCTTAATCGTCAATACCAAATCACTTAATCGTACAATAAATCCTCGATAAGTGTTAGAAGGCTCTTCGGCACTGAAGATTAAATATTTCATAAACTAAGGGCCGTATGTTGCTGAAACAAATATCATTGGTTTCAGAAACCAAGCTCTATCACTCTGCTAAACTTCATTAACCCTCCGAGCACGGAAACACGGTCACCGGTCCCTATGTCATTTCTTCAACGATGGCGAGGCTCGAGCTTGAGGCCCTCACCGACACTGTACTAACACAGTGCCGGTATAGCTCGAGCTCGAGACCTTCACCGATATTATTACGCAGTTGCGGTTGCTCGAGCTCGAGCTCGAGCTCGAGCCACCGTCACCATGTATACAATGTAATGATCAGCTGGTTTCACATTACATTTGGATTTTCATGGTTCTTATTACACCAACTAGAATAAAAATCTCGTGAATTATAAAACAAATTATATTTATTAGTCAATCCTTCTGCAGCGTCTTGGCCCGGTCGTTCGCATGTAAACAAACATCGGTCGCTATGCGATTTACGCGACACTCCGTCACTGCGTGCGTGTCGCACTCGAGACCGCGTGTCCCAGGGACCGTACTCGGAGGGTTAAAAAGTTAGCGTTACACGTGGAAACCGCTCCTTGTCATTACCGAGAAATCTTCGAACATTCATCGAGGATTTCCTGTAGTTGGAAATTCCAACAATACCCAAACCATTGAAATTATATAATTAACCCAAATAGTGCACAAGAGTTAAGCGATATTCGATTAAATCGTGTTCCAATAATGAAGGTCCTACTATACATGAAATACTTAAAAAAGGGTCCGTGCTTGCGGATGATCAACTCTGTTTTTATGAAACCGATGTAACATCGGTTAACAACTTTGATTTCAGGTGATCGAATTCTTCTCCAGCTTCGAAATGGACATACGGATCTATATATTGGCAATGTTCCCTTTCATCTGTGGGCTTGGCTTCGTGCCGAACCTGACGTATCTCGCACCTTTTTCCATAATCGGTTTCCTGCTGACTTACCTCATCGACGATTTTCCTGATCCCGGAAGGCTCCAAGCATTCACACATCCATGGCCAGTCCCGATGTACTGTAGCCTGATGCTCTACGCTCTGCACAATATGACCATCTGCATGCCTCTGGAGAACACGATGAAGCATCCGCTACACCTGCCACGGTTGATTGTATTCAACATGCTACTTAATACCTGTCTTTACACGGCATTTGGCTTCCTCGGTTACAACAAGTACATGAACACCACCTGCGACACGGTGATCAAGAACTTGCCGATAGAGGACACGTGAGTTAATTATTTCTATTTTCAGTTTACACCGTAGTCGAAAGAATTCGGAAAGTTCCTTAGGCTGGCTTGGGTTCGATGAAGACACAAATTTTCTTTGGACAATATTTGTAATTCTACTGTCTTGATTTTTGAAATTCGAATAATATAACGCATTTTGTTGTGTAGAGAATTTTTAACACAATAACAAAAAAAGGGGTACTTATTTGTTGGTCATCGGGACACAAGTTATTATTCAAAGAATTATATGATCGGAGTTGGTTAGAGCTAGTTCAAGAAGAAAAATAGTTGGATATTCTTCCGAATAGGGTAAGTGACCCAATTACAGACAGATTAATGACCCAATGAGTTTGTTTTTGATAAAAAATAATCAGAAATTATTGATAAATGTTTTTTCCCGGGCTCTCTAGTAAGTTTAATTTTTCTGTAATCGCCAAAAAGAAATTTTTTATGCAATTGAAGATTGGTGAAACACCGAACGATCGAAAAAAAAGTTTTTTTGCACCTTTTATGGAGTGTCTTATTGAAAGTATAATATTTAGCGTATACATACGCACGAATTACATATGAACAATTAATTCATATAAACATAGATTTGGTTCATTTATAAAAAAATATATAATGTAAGGACAAAGGTAGTATTTGTTATTTATTTACTGACTGTTTGCACGGGTAGATTCGGTCACTGTTAATGTACAGGTTGAGTCAATAAGAACTATTATCTGTGTAAAATAACTTGTCATCTATTGGTTGTATCAAATAATGTTTTAATGAATTATGTAGAATTTTAAGGGACGCATCGGATGGATACAATTTGATTTTTTTATACGTTATTTCTTTTAGCTATCAAGGTGACCTTGTGTCTTTTCAAGGTCAGTGCATTTTTTTCCACTATATTATTGTCGATGGAAGAAAGAATTCAGTGACCTATAGCGTGATGGTATTAAAAAAAGATGCATTGACCTTGTTAAAACTCAAGGTGACTTTGATATCTAAACAGAAATAAGGTACAAAAAAATCAAATTGTGTCTATTTGATGCGTCCCTTAAAATGCTACATAATTCATTAAAACGTTTTCTGATACAGCAGTAGGTAATGAGTTATTTTAGATAGTAGTTCTTACTGACTCACCCTGTATTTCAATTTTGCCATAATATAATGTAAATAAAAATTGACATAGTTTCACCATAGAATAGATAACGAAAACGACGAGTTAATCTGAACATGTCAATATTTTTTAACATAAACGATTCATGTACGAGTTGTAATTATAAAACGTTAACAAAACTTTTTAATTATCCAACTATAAAGAAAAAAAAACAGAATTTCCCTGTTTAAGCAATATTTTTCTTTTGTTTTCATATTGTGTAAACATAAACATGGTTTATCTACTAGCATTCCAGTGATATGTTTCTCCCGATCTAAGAAGTAAAAATTAAATCCATTGTGTGTGTCCAAATTGTATGTATGCGTCAAAATTATCAATACATAAATCATAACGTCAGGGCACAATGATTACAAACACGTTAATCAAGTCGTTCCATAATTCATCTTAAAATCGCAGTTTTTAACAAAATGTACAGGACTGGAACATTCGATAAAAATGTAGGTAAATTTTAATCTTATTTCCGCAACGAAGACCCCGATACAGAAACACACCATTTTTTCATGATTTAAACAGAAAATAGTGTTTACAATCTATTTTACAAATTCATAAGCTTGTATTTTCATTTTATGAAATGTGCCTTGCAACGTAATTCAGATTATAGTGACTTTTCGTACAAAAATAAACCTGAAAGGTCCAACAAAATGATTATTGCAGCGCTTTCTTTGTGAAACAATAGACCGACGAAATCAGTAAAAAATTTATTTAAGAAACTGCATATATTATCGAGTGGAATAAAACATGTTTCGATTTAATTAATAATTACATGGTAAAAAGAAGAGTAATTAATATAAATAATAATAAATAAATTGTAATCGTCAGTCAAATTGTGTCTGGTCCCGATAGTAATCAGTCGATATCTTTGTATGATGAATTGATAGAAGAGAAATCAATTACACTGTGTGTTCATAATGTGATTTACAGCATAATGCAGAATTACTGTGTGGCCGGATAATAGTATTGAGTTATCAGTATTGTCGACGTACGAGGTGTGTCTAGGCATGAATCGAACCAAGTAAATACAAATAAATAATCGATACTGTCGTTTCGATATCGAGTATTTTTAGTTTCGATACTTTTGGTTGCGATATGTATACTCGGTATCGAAAACAAGTACTCATATCGAATGGAGCAAGTAATCGATATGAAAGCTAATGAACGTGAACGTGGTTGTCGTTCAGTTACGTTACTTTGTTAATAAATGTTCGTTAATAAATGTTCATTAATAAAATATATCTTCGTTAAAATCAGAGATGAGCAAATTCATTACCTAGATAAAGAGTTCCGAATAACAAATAAAAGATAAACAATGTACTTAGTTATTTTTAATCGTTTGAACGTGGAAATTTCAATTTTTCTAACAAAATAATACTTCTTCCTGAATAAGTCGATGTTTAACAATTATTTAATTTCATTATCTGTTTAAGAAAGTTCAGATACTGTAGGCTTTTTACTATGTATTATTCGAATCAACTTCTGCTCAACTCTGATTAAAATATATTATATTAATAAAAAAGAACTTTGCATTCATTTTCCTTCGATACAAGCAGGTATCGATACTTTGGATGTGATACTGAGTAGCCATCGATACTTTTTTTCGATACAAGTTATGAGTAAAAATATCGATACCTTGACGTTATCGATTTATCCCTAAGTTGTTCTGAAAAGTAATGAGACTGGCTCTCTAAAATTATTTATTAATAACTCAGCTACAAACTAACTTAATTCCCTTCAAAATAGTTTTCATGAGAACATATACCGCCGTAGTCATTGTTTCTACTGGCAACAGTGCCAGATGTCTTCAATTGGAACTGCTTTCAATTGGTCTGTCAGAACTAGACTGCGGATGTTCATGGAAATATGAAGTTTTAGCAGTTAATTTACAGAAACTGGAGTCAATCAAAAAATAATTTTTCCTATTAAATATGTTCAATTAGGTTCCAGGTGAAAGAAAGTCCACGTTAAACTGAATTACGCTCCTTACTGTAGGGAATTTGAATCAGTTGTATATCCTACAAATACATAAAATTCGCAGTCTAGTCACAACATTCTGGATGTTGTCTGATGACGATCCTTGAGGTATGTTTTGATTTTTGGGAACAGCGAGAAGTCATATGGACTGAGATTACAGGGGTAAGGCAGCTTTCGAACACAGGAATACTCTTATTGGAGAAAAACTCGTTCACAGGGAGTGCGGTAGGAAGTGTTCTCATGTTTAGGCTGCGGAAGTTTATGCAAATTAAGAACTGAATGAAACTCCTCGAATAAGAGTCTAAAGTACTTTTGGTACATTTTGGGAAAAAGCGGTTTTTTAAGTTACACTGAATTCGGTACGTTGAGATGAATTTCTCCTGTACCTTAGACCCTTATTTCATTGAAACAACCAACAGAACAGCTAGGGGTCGTAACATTTAAACTCCCTAATTCTAACCTGTGTTTTAGACCTTTCTTCCATAAGTTTCAAACACCCAATGTGTTTCTTGTGTTCAACATCACATCGCCTTTTGACAAAGTGTCGCACCTGTGTACTAAAACGATCAGCAGGGACTGTAGAACGATACTGTCTTGCTAATTCAACTTTGCCCAATGCTATAGACTCTTATTCGAGGTTTTCATTCAATTTCCAATATTAATATCTGAAGATTAAAATGGGGTAGAATTTTGAATTCTGTACAAGAGGCTTTGCTACATTACTAACAACCCAGGAATAGTATTAGACTTCATTAAACCCATTCTTTTATTGAGTTTTTGAAGTTAAGGAACTCTATAAATGCATAAATATCCGCACTCTAGTCATGATGCAGCATTCAAGAAAAGTTTCTGTGAACGACTTTTTGTCCAATAAGGGTATTTTTATGGTTCCATAGGCACCTCACTTTCCTGATCTGAGTCCATGTGGCTTCTTTCTGTCCCCAAAAATCAAATCCTATCCCAAGGGTCGTCATTTTGGAACTTATGACATCTCCATCGGTGTCTAACTTTCTAAAGTTAAAGGAACTGTTTTGATAGAGATAGTGTTGATTTGCAGTGGAGCTGCTAATAAATATATTTAGAGGACCAGTTTCGTGCCTTTTTGGGGTACACCTTGTATTTTATTGCATACTTATTTAATTATTGTGCACTTTTCAATAAATTAGATTATATTTATACTTGGTTTAATGAGCTAACACGGGACGTCAGTCAAAACAAACACGCCGATTTTTGTGCAATTTGGTACAGAGGTAGTATTTTGAAAAATATTTAACACGTGTTCTTTTTAGTTGCTGACATTTATACCTAGGGGGTGAAAACAGCACTTAAAGTCGGAGGTGAAAAATACATTTTTCTTAATAACTCGCAAACTGTTCAACTTAAAGAAAATTTTTGCTAGCAAAAATGGGATGCCTCTTAGTAATAAAAATAACTACTTAAATAGTTTTTCGAAATACCAATTTCTTTAAACAATGTATTAAAAGTTAACACTTTTTTGCATATTTTTCTTACTAATTGGTATTCCATTTTTGTGTAAATTAGCTAGTAGAAACTATAGACCAATATTAGAAATATGGATAAATCGGAATTTTCAGTTTGAAGTTTATAATGACAATTCGGGCTGTTATCAGGATCAAGTCCAAGACGTTACCTTTGTTTTTTAAATGAAACTATATCATTTTTTAAACATTTTTCATTAGAATGGATCATGAGAAACCAAACAGCTATAAATATATTATCAAAAAGACAGAAATAACGTAAAAAATGCAACAGAAGTTATTTGTGTTTGTTTGTGACAAATATTTTTAGTCGTTGGATTTCTCACGATTCGTTCTAATGAAACATATTTTTAAAATGCTATAGTTTTTTTTAAAAGGCAAAAGGTGACATCAATTTTTCTGAAGGAATGCAGATATAGGAAACTCCGATGCAATAGCCTCCAAAAGCAACCAGTCGACGATTCATATAATCCACCCTGTAGATTACAACGGGAATTACTCGTAATCGTATCGTAGCATACTGAAATAGAATTGATGCACGGAACGATATACCTGTGATTTTAATCAATAAAACAGAATCGAAAGGTCAGCATGTAGTCGTCGTCGATTAATACCAGCAGATTAAGGAGTTTAATAATGTTTCATTACCGGAGCCGTCGTTTCGAGATAGACGTAGATATCTAAGAAAAAGGCCTTAGGATTATAAGGATTTCAGTAAGCTGTGTACAGAAAATTGCGATTTATATTATTGTTCTGTATTGCATTCCGATCTTCTGAGTTGTTTGAACGAGCTCAATGATATATGACGAGATTAGAAATTAATTACACGAAATACATACGCACGGTAGCCGAGTCGCAATTATCACCTGAAATGTCTTCGTTTCATTCGTCTTTTTGGTAACGACTAGGAGAAGTATCGAGCGTAACGATGCTCTTCGAGTTTTGTACACCACGAGACTAAATTCGACGTACTTAGATTACTACTAAGTATGTAATCAGTGGAGCAGTACAAATAGTATTGCGAACCTTAGTTCCATTAATGATGGTATGAAGAAAAGAATATGGAGAAACAGATAAAATTCAGACACTGAAAGCATTTATATAATCTTGGTATTTTATTAGATTGATGGGAATTAAATCGCTATTTGTTATTCTACTTAAGGTTTCTATTGTCTCTGGTATAATTGCAAAATATGTTGAATTTCTAGAATTGCTTTGTTGTGTGATAATTGGCTCTTGAATGTGGAATTGGGAAGATTTTTTTTTATGGAAATATTAAATATTATTGAGGGACTACGTGTTTTTCTTTTTCTTGGAAATAATAATTTCTTTGGGAAATAATACAGAATTATTTATTAATATATTTAATATACATATAGAATATATGTCAACTCCCATTATCATAGTAGTATTCATTTTACAAAAATTAGAATCAAGGAAGCATATTATGTATTCCACTAAATAAGAAATGTTTTAACGCAATAGTTATATTAATTATTGCAGATAACGTTCGATTGTGTTACGCATAATTCATATTCAATAAACACATAAATACATTCGCAGCCTACCTAAAGTAAATTCAATAATGTTTAACACAAACTTAATTTTTTTCTTCACCTAAAAATACAGTTCATCGAAAAAAAACATGTTTCCATTTATAATTTTATAAATTACTCCAAAAAGTGTGAACTTGCACGAACATCCACAGTCTAATTGATAACTATGTTACGCCTAATTGGTTCCAACTAAAAAGACATATGTATGTACATTACCGATCATAAATATTTGCCCATCGCAACAAAAATTCGTCAAATTTTTCGAAGGAATTCTTCTGAGAAAGAAATCTGCTTCACTAGAAGAAGCAAGCAAAATACATGATCGTATATTGAAACTTATCACAGTGAAATATAAAACGACAAAAAGAGTAAACCTTTCTTCGTTGAGATTACAAATACATACAACATACTTAATAACGATAACATACGTATCATCGTCGAAATGTACATTCCCCAGGTATCCTTGACTCTCAATCTCCCAATACACGAAAAAGAATTATGTCGATTTATTCAACCTCGATTAATACATTTTTCTGGTATATAGGCCGTGTATAGGCGTCCCTCAAGAATCTCAGTATCTGTATTTACACGTGTTAGACGGTGTTCCTTATCATGCAAACTTCCTTATCGAGCGTCGTTTCGTTATTTCTATACACGCACGTGTGCACGCGTTACATTCCATTCAATGCTTTTCGCTTTCGGTTGCTCCGAATTAAAAAATCTATTCGCCTACGTTGATGCTTATCAACCGGTCGTATTTTCCTCTCACGGTGCATGCGTTCGTGTAACTATTGGTCGCTGTCTAGCACGACAAGACAAAGGGTGATTATTACGTAAACATAAAATACACGTATCGTGACGTTATTTTAAAAAAATGATACAGTATAATTTTGAGAAAAATGAGTTAAAGGTACTTTCAGTTGCAAATAGATGTCTTCTTTTTATATTTATAATAACGAAGTTAATATAGTACAATATTCTCATGAATTGATCAAAAGAAGTTCGGCTGTGTATGGATAGAACTGCATAAATATGTTTTTTGAAACTGATATAAATCTGTTTGTAACGATGAGATAATTTATTTAACACTTTCGACGAAGCAAAACGAATAGAATAAGACAGAATGAATGAAATGAATATAATATGAATTACAGTTATTAATATTATCTATCTACACGATAGTATTTTCATTTTATTCAGATTGTTCTTTTGTTAAACTTATTATAATAAAATTCTGAAAAATGTATATCAAATGGGTATATTTTTACATTCAATAATATACCTTTATTATTCTTATTATCATTATTCCTATTTGTATTGCAGAATTAAATTTCAGGGAAATACATTTCAATTGAAACAAAAATTTTAATTTAACATTAGTCACGTTTCTGATTTTTCAAAAAATTTGTTATCCGTACATACTGTTTACTATTGACCAGTTGCGTGTATGGAACTTAAACTTTCCATTTTGAAGTTTTTAGTTTTTTCAAAAATAGGTTTGTGCTTTTAATGTCATACTGGGGACAGCGTGACCGGACATTTTCCATGTCTTGCAATGTCTTCTCAGAAAAACATTTTTTCTTTAGCATAATAATGGTAAAACTGGTTTTCAAAGTTACACTCTGCTCTAACAGGTCAATAAGTGTTTTGAGTAATATTGCCAATGATCAATTTCAATGGGATAAATTGAAGTTGTAATCAAGTGCACGCGCATTTGATAAATAATTAATTTCGAAATAGACAGAAGTTACTTTTAAATTATTGTATGTAAAATTAGGAGAATTCACTTTGCATTATTCTATTACATGACTTGTAAATAGATAATATTTTATTATTTATTTGAATGAATAATTTCTGCAATAAATCTACAAATGAAAAATATTTAATAATTTCTGATACATTTATTCAAGTAGTTTTAACACAAAAAAGCAGCATGAAAAGGTATAGTTCTATTATAGAATGTCAAATTTTAAACTTAAAATTCTATACCACTTGGAAAACGATTTAAAAGTGATTTTTAAAAGAAATATATTTTTGAAAATATTTTTAATACTTTGCTCGATTACTTAAGATATTGTTTTGTTTACACTCCATATAATATAGGTTTAAAATTGATTTGTTCTACATTCTACAGAATTAGTATTTTTATCCGGATCAAAATTTCAGCTTGTTTTTTTCTGTACGCTTTTCAATTTTTTCTGAAGTATTTTCTTGAAGAAGGAGGATCAAGTTTAATTTTCAAACGTGCAGTATTAAAAATGCATCAATCTACTTCTCAAAGCATAAGGGAAGTGTTCGTAAAGAGTCTACTGCTCATGTTTTGTTTCATGACTAACGTTATCAACTTACTTCAACAAACTGCAGATTCGATGCATTTGTAATGTAAACATATATATTAAATACAATTAAGTAGTCTTAATATAACCAAAGTCTTTAGTAGGGGGAATATATTTCTACTTATTTTATAGATTTTTGAATAAATCTGTATTATGAAACGTTACAGAGTTCATTACTTTGACTTTTGAAAGACTCATTTCTTATATAGATATAATTCTCTGTACAAACGTATAGTATTCTATTTTATTTTTATACGACAAAATGAATATACATACTGTGTAAACATACCTATTAGTATATATTCAATACCCATTATTTATGTTTTACCTTTATTACGTAAATAATTTTTCAATTGTTACGACAATTCAGATGATTTAACATACATATGTCGAACCACAGAATTTTATACTAACGCCCAAAATATTGAAATTTACATATTTATAAAATTTGAATATGTTCTCTTAAGTTTGTCATTAACACAAGGATTTAATATTAAACGACAATTATTACTATTACAGTCTAGCGCAGTCGATTAAAATAGCTGTCTCTTTGTCCGTCCTTTTCTCGTTTGGATTAACCTACTATGTGCCAATTTCGATATTATGGCCGATAATCGAGCCAAAATATGAGACCTACAAGTACTGCAAAGCTACCTTTCGTTTAAGTGGAATATTGTTAACAAGTAAGTGATAATCTTCATTAGTTCACACGTAATGTATCCTAATTTCGATCATCTTTGAGTGATGAATTAAAATTCTCATAAACTGCTATTTATTACACTTCTACGTTGTTTCCAATCACGAAAATTTAATGCAAGTTTTCAACACGGTGAAAGTACCTTCAAACGTTTACGCGCTAAATAATATTAGATGTATCAATGAACAATTCACTATTGTTTCAATATGGTGGAAATACATTTTAGATTCAGAATACCTTTCTAATCTTCTGTTCAGTCAAAATGTCGAAGGATGATGAGAACCAATAACAAATATTGTTAAAATATGATAGGTATTTAAGTTATTTCGAGACGACTACAGAATTGCACAAACAAATGACTACTTATTGGTACATCTAAAATGTAACTTAAACTTGATTCGAACATGACCACTGTAATTTCTCAAATTATTACCTATATGAAAAAAATATTTTAAACAAAAGTTGCATAGTCTCAAGGGGAACATGTTATTGCATTATATGACCCCGTTGGTGTCGTGTAACTTTTGTATGAAATATATTTTTCACATAGCCGATAATTTTCATGTAGTTGGAGTGGTCACATTAAGTAAATCACCCTGTATAGTATCTACAAAATACTGAATATAAAAATGATGATAAAACTCATTACATAACTTTACATTTTCATTGAATTGATAGATTTACTGTTAACACAAGTGATAAATCTGTAGATAGAGACTAAATATTTTCGTTTGCACAGATTAAATATTTCATTTTCAAATTTAATATTTTCATTTCTTCCTATAATGAATTTCATTTTTTCCTAAATACAGCATTATTGGCCATCGCAGTCCCTATAATGGTTCCCCTACTCGGATTACTCGCAGCGTTAAGCATGACCACGGTGATTCTGTTAATCCCTATAATAATAGAGACAGCAACAAAATGGGAAAAAGCTACGTGGTTCCTGTTAGCAAAAAATATCAGCATTTCCGTTGTCTGGATGCTCCTGTTGGTCAGTGTCGAAAATAGATGTTATAATTAGCATAACGGAAATGTTTTACGTAATATCTCTGCGTTTTACATAATTCCCGGTTCCTTTATGCAACCTGCGATCCTGCACAAACTACCGTGTTTTATGATATATTCGACATTTATAATTAGTGTGTTGTAAATTTTATGGAATTTATAGTACATTGAATTGTTTAAAACCCGATATACTGAAACGTTTAATATTTCAGTTTTTATTAATATTTATTTCATTTGAGGCCCTGAATGAGTTAAACAAATTTCCCTTTCATTTCAGTTTTTCATAAAATAGACAATGAATATCTGTCGGCAGTTTTTTTTATGATTCAATATTAGTACACTTTCAGTCAATAATCGCGATAACATATTTCAAACGTTATTAAATACAATTTTATTGATTTGTGAATATGATACAAAATAAGTATACTTACTTTTCTCACTATTCAAAATGCGACGAAAATGTTTGTCTCCTATACTTACTGAGTTCGAAACTAAATCGATTATAATCATTTTGGAGTAAATATTAAAACACCAATTATTTTAATATATCCGTACGCCCGTAAAAAAATTCCGATGTAAGCATCGATAATATTGATTACTTCTGATTATTCAATAAAAATAATCATTTTATTACATATGTCACTTTGCGTGACATGTTTATGTTAATATAATCAATCAAATACAACAATAGCTGGGTCACTTTAATTTTGAGGAATGAGAATATGTCTGGCGAATGAACAAAAATGAATTTTTACAAAAATTGCACATTGTTTATTATTTTTTACAAATTGTTGCACACAAATGTAATGTTTTTATATAGTATACTGTAGTGTATGGTATGGGTCACGTGTAACCCGGTCATCGGCTTTCACGTCTGTCACGCGAGGGTTAATATAAACGTTTCTGAGGTTATATTGTCAGCACATCAACTGTCCACGTGAGTTGAATGGAAAACCACGGGAAAATGCCTGGGTACGGAACGTGTTAAGATAATATTGAACCGCGAGCGCGTATTTATGCGACTTCGAGGAATCATACTACAAAGAAATTGCAAACTTTCGAAAGAATTGACTGGACATTTATTATAAATCTATAAGAGCACGTTTGAAGCATGACACGTCACTAAGAAACTATGTACAACATTTAACACTAGAACTACCGATGATAAACGCATAACTACTTTGATCGGTCGATGAACATGACAAATTTTTGAAAATTTACGAATTTATAAATTGACTAATTTCTTCTCTTTCATATCGTAGTAAAAGTTGCAAAAGACCTGAGAAGATGTATTGTTATAACATTTTAATCGTCGTTGTAAGAGTGTACTGACAAGTCATTTTGACTTGCTTGTAATAATATTTATATTAACGAATAGATAGCAAACGTTTATGCAAATATGCAATTTCATATAACTGATTTGCAAGAACTGGAAGTAAATAAAACTTCATTCGTCGCACCGTTTCATTAAATGAAACACGTTATTTAAATTTTGGATAGATTGTACTTTCAATAATTCGTTTCTGATACAAATACATTCAATTTCGGAATATCTTAATGAGAAATTCATAACCAGAATTTATTATTCTAAAGTCCGAATCTATCTTAGAAACATATACAAATGGTAGACAAATTTTCTTCGTTTTTGAAATGAGGAAATTTTTCATTGCAACATAGTGAATTTCTGTCAATTATTTCTAAACGTAAGTTTTCCTTATTTCGATAGCATTTGTTAATGCAGCGTGCCGTAGAACTTTATCAGTTTACCAGTAGATTTCCTCAGAAAGCTTACACAGAGAACGGTTGTGTCATATCGCCTTTAATAAAAAAAATGTAGACTGTTGGATTTTGACCCCTGTAACACGCAACTTTTCACTTATTTGCAGCAACATGTAATTGCATCAATATTTAGGAAGCAGTATATTATTCTTTAACGCTTCATTGCTTGGTAGTACACGATCGTTTATGTATTTTATTATTTCTGTTTGTGCGCATTAAAGAACAGAACTACCGGTCTACGTTATTTTGCGTGTAAAACCTATCGTGTAGAATGCAAAGTATTCGTCTACGTATATCGTAACTGTCCATTACATTAAGTAGATAGATAAAAGAAACTAGGAACTCAACCTGTAATTTAACTCAAGGTAAAGAGTACCGAATGCTTAACCGGGCTATTGGAAACTTCTGTAAAATTCTTTTTATTTGAATATTATATTTTTAAGAAATTGCATGAATACAGTAGAATGTTTTACTTAAAACATGAAATGTAAATAGAGCAAACTATTGAGGGATAGGATTTACTACAAACAATTTAATTTTCTCAATAATAAGAACTTGAAATTCATATGTGCACGTATACACTATTATCCAAAAGGATGTTAATACAAACTGAATATAGATCCAATGTCTTTTGAAGTGCAAAACGATAATTCAGCACAAAAATGATTTAAAACGCAGTTTTAATAATAGAGCATACTGACGTCTACATTTTCTATTTTCTGTGACCGCTGAAAAGTTGCTGTTAGAAATTGTATAGATTTGAATTGTATTGCATTTAGTTATTTTCTTTTTATTTAGTTTTTGCGCTGAAACAAAAAGTAGCATGGAAAAAATAAAGTCGACTCAAAACTTTTGTAATTTTCTTTTATCAGGTATTTGGAGCAATCGAAAGCACGCGGTCCATCATCAGAGAATACAATGGCGCTAAAGAAAACGGATGCTAACTGAGAATTCAATTAATATAAATAAAAATCATTTTTCTTTACTTTTTGCTTCCTACTTTATGAAACTTTAGTTTTAACATTCGGTAAAATTAGTACAATAAAAAATGTTTGTATTTTTCAAATACCATATAAAATATATGTATGTATATTGTGTTCCCCATTAAGGTCTTATGAAATTCTTTGCTGCATATTTCGTTAAATTACTTACTGTACAGTCGCAAATGTATCAAAGGATGAAAATGTGGTTGTAAAGATTATCGGTTTGCTTTTTAATGGAAAGTTAACGCTTTGAATGTTATGAAACATTGCTCTCAGTTTAGATTTATCCAATTAAAAATTAAATCAGTAGATAATGTTCATATCAATTTATTTAACAAAAGCACAAAGTAACAACTTCATTATACATATATCGAATAAAAAATTAGTAATTCTATTCAATATGTGGTACGTGAATAAAATTGGTCCACGAATAGTGTTCGTCTTTTGGAGTATTCCACGCTTAAAAGGTTAGTAATGTAATTTTTTAATAACAATAAATGACAGTAGCAAATATTTTTGTAATTTGTATTTCTCCAGGAATTGTAAGGTACTTCGATAAAACTGGATTTTAATTTACTACGTATATTGCCGCGAACTGTCTTTAAATGCCGGATGTATACGTAAATAGTAAATTCTTTTGCTAATGAAGTATGTGTAGGTGCAAGTATAGATTCTGTATGAATAATGTAACGTGTAAAGAAAACGTTTAAGCACTTACACAAGCAGTGCCGAGAAATAATTGCTTTTAGATAGCTGTGTGGAACAGAGCAGGTTCTTTTAATGTTTATCGCTGAAAATTAGTTTCGGTCGTTTTATTTACAGTACTTTTCTCACTGTTGTCGTGAAATTAATTTCAAAATACATGTAACACGTAAGACCTACTTCGTCAGATTTGAACATCAAGTACAGTTCATTTGTGTGATTTTTAGTATTAATTTAAAAATACATATTCAAATATTGTTAATACAATTGTTTCGCTAGTGTAAAAGTAAAAAAAAGTTGTCTGCCTTTAATGCAAATACAAGAAGGTTGTTATAAAATAAATTTTACATATATTCACAGTTGGTAGTCTAATAACAAATTCAGAACGATTTCCATCAGTCTATACTTTAATATAAAACTAACTTGTTCTGGCATACCTGGAAGTAAATCGTTCTTAACTTAATATTGCAGTGAAAATAGTATTCTCAATTCGTAATGAACACCACAGTGTATCAATACAATTTTCTTCGACTGCATTTCATTTTCTTTAAGGTATTGAAACATAACGACGTGACCTTGTTTTTAATAAACAGTAATGATGGTTTTCCTGTACAAGGAAAATAGTGATTGTAATTAACAATAAGAACTGTTTTTAAATTTTCAACCAAGTTGTAGTCTTCAAAAGTCTGCAAATTTTGTGCAAAATAGTTGCTATGAATTCGGAACCAAGGTTACGTGAATATAAAATTTTAATGTGTTACTACTGCTGTCACAGTAAGATTTTCAAGTTATTAAATTATAATGAAACTGTCATAACCTAATCCAGACCGCAACACAAGAAAAATCACTCTGCTGATTTACAAGGGTATCGCACCGTTGCGTAATAGTACGCATCCGTCGCACGTGAGAAAAATACGATCGTGTTATCACCCATTTAAAACCGAAACTGCGTGAAGGAAAATGTTGTCAAACAATACACTGCACGTGCGGCAGTTAAAAAATATGTTATGTGATCGTACATGTGAGACTAAAATAAATTGAAATTGATAAATTGTTAAAAAGACATTAAGCTGTTATTAAAAATAAAATAAACGCGTGTTTGTCTGTAAAGCACGATTTTATTTATATTACAGAAGCCAAATTTTTCGGAAGATGACCATGAATTTAAAATACGTTTTGAATAATTTTTGAATAGTAACATTTATTTGAGACTCGAATAAAATGTTATACAGATTAATTGCAAATTTGAGTTATAATTTTCATGCTTAAACATGTGTCGCGAAATGAATTTGTTTCGTTTTCAACGCATTGTTCATAAATTAGTTTAAACAACGTTCAATTCATTTTATTGTCATAACAATCGGCATTTTATGAACAATGACGCGCACCCTGTAGGTTGACACACAAAGAGTAACTTTGTTTCATCGTTTTCATTCATAGAGGCGTTATTAAATGCATCGATTAATGAAATCGACTGCTTTGTACACATATAAGAATCTCGTGGAACCTTTTATCAATTGGTGACGCTAGTTTGTTCTAAAAACTGTTCACACGAATCACGTCGTAATACAAAAAAGTAGCGTATGAAAATTTTAGTTTTAATGAAATAAAAACTATCTAGCTTCTTCGAAATTTCATCGGTTCATTCAACTTGTATCCCTTCTTAACTTAATGAATTCAAAATGTAACGTGGAGCCTTGGATTGGCCTCAGCGGCACAGGGACTTCAATAAATGTCATGAATTTGGAGAAGCCTTGACTACTTTTTGAACCTGTTTCCATAACAAAAAACAAAATAGCATACATATAGAACAGAACAGATAGGATTGTTATGTGTATAATTGTAGAACCTACTTTAAATTTTCTTCTGCATTAACGTTATCCGGTCAATCGGGTACAGGTACAACGTACCATGCATAACAAGGCCTGTTTTTATGTAATCACCGTAACTTTACCATAATATAACACAAAACGTGCACTGATTTCGAAAGTAACCATAGGCCCAACCACTAGATACTACCTTGTATGGTTAAGAAATGCCGTTAAGCATGTGTACCCATTTGAATCGTTAAAATATTGGGTTTGATGAAGAGTACAATGTGCCATTGTTTCGACAGTTTTCTTCGATTATAAAAATATCTCATTGGACGCAGAATTCGTCGACATATAGGAACCACTCGTTTGGAAATCCCAGTTTACAATCAGCAAGTAATAAACTGTCTTCGAACTGAAATGAAATAATAGAATAAAAGAATAGGGTGAACAAACCAATGAATAAACACTTAAGAGATTTTCTAACTATTAAAGTCGAATTTTAAATGATAATACAATATTAAGACGTTGTCTGCCATAATGAGAAAGCCGTGCGTAGCCAGACACATTTTATTTCTTTTGTGAAATCATAAATCGTCAAAGATATATGCGTTTATGTAGTCAATAGAGATTTTATGCACAAAGTTTTTAACGGTATTTAAATAGTTCAGCCTCTTTACAATGTACGCTTCACCCATATTTCGATGACGTGTCAGTCAAAGTGTAAATAAATGACACATGAAAATTAGATTCTTTAATATCTATACCTTTGTATAACGTACAGATTTCCATTTGAACAATTGTAGAAATGTAATTAATTAAATTAACAAGAAGAAATACGATTTTCACCAGTAAATGAACATTTCTAACCAGTGGCGCGAATATTATTTGAATATGAGACAAACAATGAAAAAAATCAATATTTAATCATTTGCTTATTTTAATAAGTTAATTTACTCGCTCTTATATGTAATGTTCATTCACTGGTACGTGTTCATTTACTAATGCATCCACCCAATTTGCTTCGGTGTCAACGGTACCGAAAAATGTACGAGTCGACATATCGTTTGTCCCTTCGAGCAGCCTGAATCACGATCGTGAATCTTCGACCCATAGTTTGGATCGTATTTTCCACCACCTCCCTTTCGTTCCTACCAAATATCCCGAAACACCATCTACGACACATTTGTCTGTTACTCCATCCCCTGATTTAACTCCCACTGTATCACTGAAATGAACACTTCGAGTCCTCAAGTTCTTCATGATCCCCGAATCCTCAGGTTCTCCACGATCGCTAAATCCTCAGGTTCTCCACGATCCCCGAATCCTCAGGTTCTCTACGATCGCCAAATCCTCAGCTTCATTACGATCTCCGAATCCCCAGGTTTTCCATGATCCCCTAAACCTCAGGTTCTCCACGATCCCCGATCAGAACCGTTGACGAAGCAGTGATTCATCATCCGCATTCACCACTTACGCAACGCTCGTGATCGCAGATCAGGCGTCGAGAAAAAGACGATCGCCTGGGAAAAGAGCTCAGCGGATCGGCACGGCACGGGGAGAGGGTAGATCAACGATGGAGGGAACGTCAGCGACGGAGGAGAGGATCGAACGGGCGGAGGGAGACAGATGGAAGGTGAAAGGGAGCAGCCGAAATGCAAACGGTGCAAAAGATCCGCAGTGTAGTTCGATCGCGGTCGCAGTGGGCCTCTGTCTTCGCACGATCGTCGCGATGCTAAGGACGACTCGAGATCGTCTACGAAACAACACGACCGATAGAGCATATTAGGAGGACGGCCTCTATCTCCCCTCCATCGTGACATCGACGCTAGCGGGACGTCGCCCGTCTGCAGATCGTCGGCGATACAGACACCGCCTGTATATATACCCGCCTGACGCCGAAAAAACCTGACTAGTCGTTGTGCGACAAGCCTGTCACCGTTTCACGCGGATTTCCATCGCTTGTTCGCGTTTAATTCACCGAACACCATCGGCGAGACTGCACCAATAGTCGACTCTGTCATCCGACGAACGTGATTCACGTTCTCCAATACGATCTTCACGGACTGTGACACTACCCTTTAAGAGAAACATAGCCGCGGAAACAATTTGAAGAAACTTAGAGGAAGTAAGAGAAGTGTTTCATCTCTAGAAGATCTAAAGTGCAGCTTGAGATAAATCGATGAAGCTCGAGGACTGTAAGAAAGTGGTCTTCATTCGTCAGGCAGAAGTTTCGGGGATCTGAGACGATAGAGAACACTTTAGAGGACAGAGGATTTCCTGATACCACGGAAAAGGGGAAATAATGTATCCGTTGACAGTGACAGATTAAGTACAACAATTCTTTTGCAAGATCGGTTCAACAACGACGAAACTCTTTCGTTCCGTTCACGGCGCGAGGTTTATCATTTTCGTCGCGGATACATCCCGATTATCAACGGTGATAAAAGAAATCCCTGTCGAAGATTAACGTTCGGAAGCACAGAAGCCCCCGTTGATCGCGGTATCATTGTGCAATTCATTTAGTGCGTAGGATTTGTCCGGAGGTGTATCATTGGTCAATAAATCATACCGAATGACACTGGCCGAAGCTGCTCTAAGACCTGCTGATAAATTATTATCTCCGTCAGCATTGACCGGAGACTCCCTGTGAAAAGATAAAAGTCGAAGAACGAATCAAGGAAGGTAGAGCGAGGAGGAGCATCCGCTTGCGTTCGAGGATGTAAATAGGCGGCTACCGAGAAGCGGATCGGTTCCATTCTTCTTCTTTTTTTTGTTCGAGGGGGAAATCCACGAGGTCACGCGTCAATATCCCTGAGATCATCGTCAGTTAGTCTTCTGGTCCGGAAACTATCGACACACGTGAGTACACTTTAAGCAAAATAGAGACTCTGCTCAAAAGAATTAGGGGATCGCTAATGTCAGTAGTCCCATTGCACCCACCTAACAAAAGAAACGAAACAACTAACTGCATTTGTCCGCTACAGTGGACACCTATTTTATCACTTCAGTGACAATATTTGGAACATTTCTTGACCATCGGCAGTACAAATCTTCTTTAACCACTTGCTCTCGCAGCCAGGTCACAAATGCGTGTAATTCCGATGCGTGTGGCACGTCTTTCCAGCGCAAGAGGTTAAATGATTAATTACTGTTACTACTGGTGCCGTTATTTATAGTGAGCAAATACATTGTTTGTAAAAAAAAATAAAGGAAGTTAAAATATTTTTAAAAATATGTTATATAGTTTTAAAATGACTATGGTTTCTTGATTTTATGATAAAAAAATTGTTGTACAGGGTACCAAAAAGATGCTGTGAACGTTTTAAATTACTTAGGCATTATTTGTTATATGAAGAAATGTTTCAAACAAAAGTTGTATAGGTAGTATCAAGAAGGCTTACAATATAATAATCAGTTTTTTTGTTATTTTCACTTTAATCGGGATATGAAGGTCATTCTGAGTTTTTTCATATGTAATGTCTAACATTTGACTCTGCCATTTGAAAGATTATTAACGTTGGGAGTAAAAGTATTAAGATATATGGGTTCAAAAACTAGTAATTATTGGGAATTCTTCAGTGAAGGATGGTGGAACTTTTGTGAATGTGAAATTCGTATGACACTTGTCTTGCTAGAACGCTTATTTGACATGATGAATACATGAAAGATCGCATAGTTAGAGTAACTTCAGAAACACTCAAATGCGTGTCACTCGCACTCCATTGATCCACCACGCGCTTGTATCGATCGCAATGGATAAGATGTTGAGGATCACTTATACCTCGATCCCATATACGTCAATAGATTTTTACCGAGTGTTCAATAATCTTTCGAACTGCAGGGTGAAATGATACACCTTACGTTCAAAAAAACTTAATGCAATCTGCGCATCTCGATTAAAGAATAAAATAACAAAGAACCAATTATTCCATTCTGAGCCCCACGTGATACCACACGACTTGTCTTTGAAACGATTCTTCATAAAACGAACAATTAACAAGTCATTTAAGATGCTATAATTAGATTACCCATTCTTAATCTGCAGATTTTATGCATTTATAGAATTCACTATACATAAGAAAATCAAAATTTCTTTAAAATTGATCAAACACTTATGTATAGTGAATTCTATAAATGCATAAAATCCGCAGATTAAGAATGGGTAATCTAAAAAAATTCTAGCATCTTAAATGACTTGTTAATTGTACGTTTTATGAAGAATCATTTCAAAGAAAAATCGTGTGGTATCACGGGGGGTTAGAATGAAATAATTGGTTCTTTGTTATTTTTCTTTGAAACCGGGTAGAAAAGTAAATCAGGTAAACAGATCCTAGTTTGACTCTAAATTCTGTAAACCAACTCCCAAAAATGTATATTTGCATAAAAATCCGCAGTCTACTCATTCTGTATCCGTATAAAAAACTTTCTCGAGATTATATTAGGTGTAACAATAAATAATCTACTGTATTTCATTTTTGAGGAAATCAAAAGTCTCTGCTACTTCGAGGAAATCTCCCGTCATTTCTACGAAAAAATAACTCGAATTCATATTCCGAATTTAAATTATGTTACAATTTTGTTAAAAAAAAACGGTGAATTACTTATCGCTGCACCTAATACGTTGCATTGGCGAGCAACTAAAATACATGATCCGCTAATTGCTTCGAGCAGTATACAAAGACTAGGTAAAATGACTCGAGAACGTAATGATCTGTCAGCAGCCAGTTGATGTTCTCCGTTACGCAACGACTCGGACTTTCGACGGTACAGATCGAGATCCGTTTCTGCGATTGACTACCGCCGCGCGTCGATCATTATCGCTGCCCCTCGGGCTCATTGCTAATTCCGTGGGCGGAGGCCTCGCGTGAATTTTCACTGTCGCCCGATATTGTAATAACGCACGCGTCGATCAGATAATACATCGCGATTCCCCGCAGAACCCCAGTTCTCGATGGTAACACGGCGTTGTATACTTTGACGGTGATAAATTGTCGCATTCGTTCGTTAAACAACCGTGACAACGGAAACGTTCTTGGGTATAACACACTGGGAGGTCGAGCGATGGAACACTTTAAGGACAAGTAGGTTACCAATATCATCTGTTTTGTCTTTTATTTGTTAAATAGGATTGCAGTCTTACGAGTAGATTTTTGTAAGTAAATTTTCGAGACTGTGACATGAAAATGAAATATATCAACAGAATTTTATTTCCTGTGCTGAGAGTTTTAATGTATTAATAGTAACGGATAAACGGAATTAAACTTCAGTGAAATCGTTATTTTATTACGATTTACGGATGTTTATGCACATTCACAATTTCCGACAGTATTATATGAAAATGAAATACAGTAACGGACAAAAAAGTTTCCACTTTTTTGTTCTGTTACGTTTTGTATTTATTAATTTTTAACATCAACTTGAAAATTTCGTACACGTGTATAATATATATTCCGATAGCGAATTAAAAGCTGTATAAAATCCAGTATATTAAGGTTTTACGTTGGTGTTAAGAAATAACAAAAATAACAAAAATCAGGGAAGTGTTTAACATTTTTGTCCGCCACTGTATGTAACAGAATTTTATTTCCTGTGATAGGGGTTTTGATACATTGATGATAACACATAAACGGTATTAAATTTCCATGAAATCGTTATTTTATTACTACTTGCAGATGTTTATGTAAATTCACAATTTTCGATACTATTGTATGAAAATGAAATATGTCAACAGAATTTTTATTTTCCGTGTTAATGATTTGGACATATTAATGATAACACATAAGCGGTGTTAAATTTCAGTGAAATCATTGTTTCGTTACGACTCGAGCATTAGAAGATGTCATAAATGCATAAACATCGAAACTGTACTTACGAATGATCTTATTATCGTTTTTTTTGCGTTTATGAGCTTGAAAACTGGAATGTGTTCGGTGACACTTGAAGGAGTGTTTCTTATTGTTAGAGGACAAATGAAACATCTGCATGTAAAAATACGCGTGTAATGTAAAATATGGAAATATTGCCTGTGATAGTACAAAGTGGTGCAAATTGTGCACAAACGACAGAAAATGTGAAATAAGAATGTCTAATTTTTTATGATCAGGCAATGTAATACAATTTTTATTTAATTATATCCAAAACAAATAATGGGTTTTAATTAGACGAATAGGAAGAACCTAATGAACAGTGTTAAATTTTAATCAAATTTGGTCTAGAAAATAAGAAATAGTTTATAAATTAGTCGCATTCTACATATTTCTCTGATACATAGAATAGGAGGATTTTAAATATTTTTAAAATTTAATTTTGCAACTTATATTTAGTCATATAAAATACGTATAATACATATAAAATTACGTCCAGTCATTACCAATATTTTTCCCGGACATGTTCCCATTAAAATTGGTATTCTTAACATTTTCCTTATTTTTGAGAGTAAACCAATTTTGAGAAAGGGATGTAAGCGTATCTTAGCCCTTTCGAGGAAAATTTTATATCTAACTATTTACAATCTAACAATTCTAACTATTTTACTTAATTATTTAATTTATTTCATAAACAAGAAAGACAAGTAGTCAACAAGACAATCAGTCAACCAAACAATCGCAGATGCTAACAAGTATTTATACTTGCCGTATATCGCCAAAACAAAACATTCAGTACTTCATTTTTAACATAAATTTTTATCTGCAACTTATAAATATCATAATAAAAAGAATCTTTAATATAATTTCAGCACATTTTCTAGTTCACTCTGAACATTAGAATATTTTACTAATGAAAGTTAAAGTAGATAATTTCTGTTTCACAAATTCAACCAACGAAATATTAATCTTGCATAAACACTCATAGTCTAATAATAGATATTCTGCAAAGTGGAAATTTAACACTTGAGTTAACACACCTGTGAAAATGACGAATATCAGATTTCTTGCTTCAATATTGGTGCTTTCGTCGAAACTTATAGTGACCTCTAATTCATTATTACTATTTATTGGACTGTTGCATACGTAATGGGAATTTCCAGTCATATTTCTGTCTTACTATCACCACAATTGCCCGCAAATAGAGTATATTGTTGGTATGATACGTTACACATTACATTATACAAACTACATAGTTAACTAAATAAATTATTTTCATGTTTAAATAAAAAATTTTATTTTCGTATAAAGAAATATCTACTATTTTATGCATCAACCCAATATATTAAGTTCATGGACATAAAACGATCGTTTCTTTACTAGCAGTTGACACTAATATTGAACATTACACGAGTTTTATTAGACAAAGTAAGGTTAAATAGACTACTGCACTTTTTTCGTATAATCCATCTATTTCGTATAATCTTGGATAATTATTATATTGAATTTGAAGATGACTCTTCAAAGGCACTTTTAGCTGCCATCTTCCCGCCGAATATTACCATCGCTAAATAGTACACACTTTTCAGCAGAAATTTACATGCATCTTCCTAAAGTTTATTCATAAATTCGACTTAAATGTCCATCTTTTAATATACGTGGAGAAAATGACCGAAATTAACTGAAACTGATTCTCCACTTTAATTATCCTTAGTGTTTAACATTACCGGCGCTCGAGCCACAGCTGCGGCCTTGGGGGGGAAATCGCACTTCCCCTCTCCCGGGAGACCTGAGCATTAACTAACTAACTAACTAGTGTTTAACATAATTGATTTTATTGTTAGCTACATAGTACATACCTTGAAACGAGTAGAGCACACTGGCGAACGAAGCGACGTTAATAATACAAGCATCAAATATACCTATCAGCAAAATCGCTCATTTCATGTACAACGACCTAATGTTATGTTACATCACACATATGAATACACGATA